AGGAGAGTCAGAGGAAAGAGCCACTGTACTGACACAATGCACGATGGCTGATATGCCAAGGCTGTTGGCCTGATTCATGACAAAGACAGTCTGTGAGTTAGTGAAGTGCTTAGCGATCTGCGTTTTGCGTAACCGATGGATGACGAGAGCAAGCGCCGGACCCGGTCACTTGGTGCCTGAATTACTACCTGCCGCGCGTCGCGCGAACTGGAATCAAGGGTCTTGATGTTTGATGCTCGTTCTCGTTCCGACATTTTGAGGGGAAGAACTCAAGAACACTTGGGTTCGCTCGCCAAAGGTATGCAAACAGCATCACTCGGGGAGACTCGACATCACAAGAGTGCAACAGCAACGCTCGGAGACTCGAGAGCATCATTTCAAGGAAGCTCACCGCGTATAATAGCTCTAACGATGGCTGAGGTTATTGCTGCAGCAGAAACTGGTGATGGACATGTATGACGACGGATCGAGCAGAATCAGAGGAGAGCGAATGATGCAGGTCAGAGGGGGGGGCACACGGACGGCGTGCCATGTCACACCCACGTGTGACGTAACTAGTGTGAATCTGACGCGACGCTACCGCGTTTCACGTCGACAAAGACTCTGCGTATTACTGCTCGCAATTGCCAATCTTCAAACTCGATGTCACCCTTTTCTGCAATTTCTTGGTGCTTTGGGATATGCTCTGGCTGGCACCACTTCTCGTCGACTGTGACGCGTGCTGTTGTGACAGAGGGGGACAAGCGCTGTAGCGAGACGCGCGTGGCCAGGCGTGGCCCAGTTCAGTTTCAGTTCGGGCTCCTCACGGTTCTTCCTTTCGCGCAAAACTTTCTTCCCCAACGTTCATTTCTTGCTTGTGGATACATCGTTCAACGATGGCATCTATTGCTTCAAATGCCGCTGCAAAATTTAGCTCTGAACGACCTCACTTGCATGGCTACTGCTGAAGGATTTGAGCGTACCTGCTGCCCAACTCGCGCCGTGCTGTGCCCGCCGTCTTGTTCAATGTTCACCATGACTTCTGTGATTGTGGTAAGTAACGGTGGAAGCCTTCATCGACGTTAAAGCAAAGGCAATGCCGAATATTTTCAATACTGGCTATCGAGGAGTTCTCGCGCTCATGCCCTGCCGACACCGCCGCGATTCGGGAACATGGCTTTGCGCAGGTCTTATCGTGCCTTTGCACCGAAATGCGCAGCAGGATTCGTTCTTTCACTCAACATAAACTCTGCAGTGTGCATCCTTGCTTGTTACGAGAGTAGAACGAGGCGTGCTGTGCATTCCAGCGCAATGGGTCCGTCATACTTAAACGCTTCTGCGTCTCTCCATGTAAGTAGCCTCTTCTAAAGTATCTTCATCTGCTCTGCATATATGGTATATTATTTTGCTAGGTCAAAGTGCTCGGCGACTATGTATGTAGTCAGCTCCCTTCCCTCTCGGTCAGTCTTGGCTGCATCTGGCCTATTCCTGCTGCGTTGCTACGAATGCTGTAGCTCATTAGCCATGCTCTCGGTCAGCTGTTCGAAATATGCTTTAGCTGCCTCGTATGTGGGATCTCCGAGGATGGTCTACCTCCCGCCTTGCCTTTTCCTCTTACGACATCAACGAGGACGTCCATCGCCTTTGCTAGGTCACCTTTGACCTTCATGAAGCGTTCTTTCAGCTTCTCATGCACGAGCTCTCGAACGCCATCGTAATTCGAAACGTGGTCGTTCATAGAGTAAACTGCCTTGTTATTTCCTTCTGTGCGGAACTCCCCCTGGGCAGCGAGCTCTGCGGCGAGAGTTTCACTGATCGCTGAGATCGTCCAATATTCAGCTACATTCACACCCGGGATTGACGTGTGAGAGCTTACAATGTATAGCGGCTTTGGAAACAATGTGAAATCCAACGGTCTGCTCGCCAATCTTGTAATCGAGTGCTCCGCGCTGGAGAAAGCTCGCTTATTCAGGGTACGTGTGCATGCCACACGGTCCGACTGCCAGTTAACACGATGGTTCCGACCTTGCGGCTGCGCATATGTGGCAGTATGACATTGGTAATGTCTAATTGCAGAAACACTCTCCTCGTCTTGACCATTGGCGACGGAAACCTTTCCTTCAGCATTGATCTCTGCCAGCTCTGTGTCAAAGGCGTGGACAGGGAAACCTCATTTGCATGCATGCACGTTTCCATTTTTGAACTGTAATGCAACCCTGCGGTTGTCCATAGTGGCCTGCACCTATTCGACGGCGATGCCACGATCGACACGGATGAAGATCAGGTCGCACTGTATTCCAGCTGTTTCCACGACCTCAATGTTCGTATAAGCACATGAGTTCATCTTAAGAGGTCGGCGATAAGTATTTACTAGCCCGGTGACAGCATAGATCGCATTGCAGTGGGACACATCGACGATGATCGATGAAGTCTAAAACAACCGTCGTCGTGTATAATCGTGCAGATTCTTTGAATATGCTGTTGACCCTCGATCATATTCGGAGACCTTGATGGCGACTTTCGATTGATAAGAAGGCGAACAGTTGTGTAGACTCTCTGTAGATTCGCCAGGTTCGAAGATTCGATATACATTCAAGCCTGATGTTGACGGATTGATCGAGAAGAAAAGCCATGTATTGCAACAATGACGTACCGGCAGCCAAGACGTTCTCCGCGAACGCTATGGCGATAAAGGCCCAGACAAACGGATGGACCGTCTTTATGAGCATCTGCGAGACTTGTGCTTTGGTTCAAATCGCTGGGTAGTACGTCTAGCAGACACCCATCGCAGAGATCTGCAGTCCACAGAAGGCTGGGAAGGATGACAACCACTTGTATGTTATCATAGACAATTCAGCAACGATAGATCCGGAATCTAGCATGAAGGCGGCACAGCACACGATCGGGCTGCAAAGTCACTTCACCATCAACGCATCATCCGCCACTACTGTTTGCGAGAATGTGACGACGCTCTGCGTGCTCGAGTCAAATCCCAGACAACCACCATTGAAATTTGACAGGAACAGTCAGAAATGAACTTAAGTATACATCAAGCTGATCATTGATAGACATCTGCAGTCGCATTCATGAGCACTTCGTTCCAACTACATCTTGGCGACTCGTCGGCATTTAATATCAACGTCGCGTAGAACAAGAAGAGTTCCATATACTTTTCGATATTCAGGGCTGTCTCGAAGGAATGCTCAGACCGTATCACAAACGACAGCAGTCACAAACAAGTACCTTCGTTCACACCATGTACACTTACATCTCGGCCCCGTTACCTGCGTCATAATGAATATAGCGAAACGCGTGGGGTGCGAGCTTCAGGTAGTACTTTAGTGGCACATAAGCTCAGATCGGACGTGATGATTCTAATGGGAACCGAAGGACCTGTCATTCCAGAGAGCAGACTAGGGCTGACTGCAAGAGCGAGCGGTGAGACATATGTGTGGCTTTGATAGTACCGGACAACAGTTGAAATGGCACGTCATCGACGCCAGTCGGGGTGATCGGCGCAGGCTCGAACCCCATCCCCCATGCATCGCTGAGAGTTAAATTGCCATAGCTTGCCCCGTCGTTAAATATGTTCGTGTCAAAAGCATTGTATGGGAGGTTGAACTCGGCAGCAAGATCTTTTAGGAGCTGAGTGGCGTGCTGCTTCACTTCGTCTACTGAGCTATCTCCGAGACAGATGATGAGAGCTGTGTTTCCTCGCCTTTGAAATCCAGCTTCTCACCTGTCGGCGGCTATCCGGTGGTTGACGATCGCCATCGCATTCTCGGGAAGTGCGTTTGACTTGACTCCACCGTTGATGACGTCTACGGCCTGTGTCGTACTGACCAGAGCCTTGAATGAACGGATCTTCAACAACATCCCTTCTGCGCGGCGCAGCGCCTTGTCCGAGGTTATCGACTTTTGTAATGCCTCGCGCATTGACACAGGGAACCTCGGCCCGTGTGCGGCGAGACATTGAGCGTGAATATACATTGGTGAGTCTCGCCGGAACAGTAACTTCATGGGGTTGTTCTCATATCGCACGAGCATCGCCGCCAGCATGCCAATAGTCTGATGCCGTCTCCATAAGCATGTTAGACATACGAGCTAGGAACGCAAGCTTACCGTGTGGACTGGAGGTACGCTTGAGTGTCCTCCTGGAGCATTGACCTCGATACGCATGTCGAAGTAACCTTTTTGCGCTATAGCAGGGAATGCGAACGTTCCACCGTACTGGTCCAAGATCACGCCTGCCGGCAGAATGAGCCCTCGCAGCTTATAGTGTCGACTTGCACAGGTTGTCTTACCTCCTTCGTCAAGTAGCATTGCGAACGAATTTTCACCGAACCTGGACAAGAGATATTCGCCGATCGAGGAGGCACCCTACAAACGGTCAAATCATCGTCATCGCGCGGTCCGGTCAAAAGAGCACTTACCTGAACTCCATTGATCTCTTCGTCGAAACCGAATGCCAACACAAGAGTTCGAGCAGGCTTGAAGTCTCTTCCCAACAAGGTCTCAATGACAGTCCTGGGATCCCTTGCGCTGAGCAACTCGTCGAGGTCGCGCCACAAAAACAAGCTCACAGAATGCCGATCAAACTTGCTTTGTCATCCATGCTGCCCCGCCCCCAAAGATACTTTCCTGCCTTACTAAAATGAGATGGGTCGCCCACCATGACGTCTCACTTATCGTCGTAGAATCCTGAAAAAGGAGGAGGCGTCCAGGTATCATATGTATCGGGATTGACGGGAACAACATCTGGATTGAAAGAACTTCTTCGTCGGAAAATCTGCGTGTCATTTAGAGTGAAATATGATGCGTACCAGAGTGGCCCGTTAAGAGCAGAGGCTTGATGTGCTCGTCTGATCCCTTCAAAATGTAAACAAGTCCATAAGTGTTCACCTTGACCATTTCAGCTGTGTTATGGGTGCTAACGTGGTCAACCAATCCATTTTCACGCCACACACTGCATAGTGCTTACTGACAGGATGCGGAAGGAGGACAGAAGATACTCACGAAAGCGATTGAATGGCTCCCAGCGAGCGTCTTCGCCAACCGTTCCCATGTCATCAAATGTCTGCGTCCTATACATCCCTTCATATTCCAATCGATCTTCGCAATATATTGAGATTGTTACTTACGGAATCTGTACGGCCCCGGAGAGCAGGCTCACAGTTTCGTGCAAGAACGCATCGTTTTTGAATGTCGACTGCAAGCTCTGCCAGAGCGCCACGTGCTTATCCGGAAACAGGGCAGCTGACTGCGGACACATCGCATGACTTAGCACAGCATAGTCAGTTGCGCTGAGGTTGCTTGACACTGGCACAGAAAGGAGCACGAGGAGAGTTAGCAGCAGAGCTAGGGCTTTGGTAGTGCGAGACCATGAACTTGATGGGGAGTCTACGGGTTGAATCTCGGAAGCAGGAGCGAAGCCAGTGCTGTCCTCCGAAGGTTTGTTCGTCGATATGGGATACTAATGCACTCGATTAGAAGAGGAGGAGACAAGGGTATTTCAGCTACGGACACTTGCCTTCACGAACTTCGCTGGCGGCAGTCATTAAACGGCTGGCGTGGCCTTCTCCACGCAGAGTCTGTGACTGTCGAGCCTTGCCGAAAGTCTCCCGCGATGACTCTATGTTCGTGCCGCCGACATGATTCGCATATCGCTGATGAATAATGATGATCATTCTTCTGTGCGGACGCAACATGGCGAGCGGGCCAATCGGGCTTCTACGGTCTGCCATTTGGCTGGTACTACATTGCGCGCTTATGGAGCGCTTAATGCATCTCTCGCCACCGCAGTGACTCAGGATGGATAGTACAATACGAGCACCTCCAGGTACCTCAAGGCAGTGGCTCGGCGTCCCGACATCTCATATTATGGCAACCTTGTGCCTTTAGGCACTTCATTTCGTGGTGATATTCGAGCTGGGTTCGAACAGATAGTACGAACTCCACGAATTCGGGCCTCCGCATCGAGATGCACAGCTAATACTTCTTTCCCAAGGTCTTTCATCTGAACAGGATCAATGAATCTCCGTGATGAGCGCATCATGCCGTCACTGTTATTCGCGATGGGCTATTTCAGCGGTGCGACGGGCTCAGGTGCCGCATCGGTGAGTCTGCATTTTCAGAAAGCCGTAATTGGCCCTTACATGAGAGGTATCGTTGCTTGATCGCTGCGCGTTTATGATGCATTGCAACGTTGTCTCCTAAATGCAGATACAGTATACCGACGGCGGCGCTCGTTGTCTCCAGGCACTGGCTCAGCCGCGCATGGCACGAGGGAGATTTGCATTGTTTGCCTTTACCATCTGTCACAGTCTTGCGCGCACATCCGGTTCGATTATCCACGCATCATTAACCATCCCAGGCTGGTAATGGACGCTCAAGGGCAACGCGTTCTCCGCCGATGTGCTTTCACGAGGATAGTACGCTGGAGCCGCGTACGGATGCTCAAGCTCAAAAGGTGGGGTGAACGTTGATGCCACCTTCGCAAATTCACTGAAGCATTCGGCTGAGGGCAATCATATTGCCGTCGCCTCTAGTGGGTGCCGGGCTATCTCTCGTCCGCATACCATCAGCTTACCCACGTCGGATTTTGCCTAGCACAGGACAGCTGTAAGCGAGATACGGGGGACTTTCAAGTTCTGATGTACAAAGACGATAGATCCGAGCATGAACAATGATTCTTAAAAATACATATAGCCCACAGCAACGGCGATATTTTCCTACCGCAACCATGGTCGAGTTTTCTATTTCTGAATCATTCATCGTCTCGCTGTTTGTCCAAAGCGTTGTCGATGGCATCCACATCATGGCTTTCGCATTTAACGCATGGACCCTGCTCGATCGCCCCCTCGCAAGATACCGACAACATACCGACTGGCTGATGGTGGTTACTGCAGCTTTCCTCTTCGCGAACGACCTGTATATGAATATTCATGCCTTCATCATCAACGAAGGACCCGGCAGTGCCACGACGGATCTCAGTATTCTGTCCAACTGGACTCATATAATTCGAGTGAGTGATTGAAGATTAAAAGTCACCACTCTATACTCAGGATCTATGAAACGTTCCATATAAGGCAATGCCCCTGCCCGATTTGGACCCGTATTGGCCACAGCGCAAGAACGATGTCTACCTGTCATGGTCTTCTACGATCTGAAGCTTATTTGTTTAACACATATATCAGATATATCGGCCATGCTCGACGTCTAGTCACACTTCCCCCACCCCCCGGCTTCACCTCGTTCTCTGCTCTTGTTACAGAGTTTTCGATCGTAGCTCAGCGTGTCCGCTATTCGAGCATTTTTAGCGCATACAAACATGGAGCAGTTACTAGAGATTCGTAGATGTACGTTTGGACATATTGTCCAGTGAGTTCTCCGCGAGCATGGGAGGGGGTTAGCATTGCTAATATAACAGCATCTGCGAATGTCGCGTGGTGCTCGGAAGTGCAGTAGTTGCGGAAGCGCCCGCGCAAGATGGGCGCTTGGCCTTATCCGCGGCAGTGGCTCTCATTTTCCTCCATGCTGGCGGTGTCGACTGTCTCTGCCTCGCCTCTAGCTCAAGAATATCGCATCCGTCTGCTAGTCTTCGACACGCTCTGGCTGTTGCATTCGCACAGCGTTGCCCAAATGTGCCGAGCCTTACCGGGTCTGTCAGTTGCGACCCATCAAGATAGCTCGATGCGACCACCACCACTTGCTACGCGCTTCTGATCCTATTCCTCGTCATGCGTCTCTTACTGCCCTCTCTGATGCTACCCTCTCATGTCGCTGACCTCACCTGCACCGACCACAGCTCGGCATCCACTCCATCCTGAGCCTCACGCGATTATCGCCGTGTGGCAAATCCCTGCCAAGCTGTCATGGAGCTCGGAAGACACACTCGACGGCATCCTGGATGGGTGCTTCTACCATGATTTCGAGCAGATGCCGTGCAACATCACCCAGCGCGCGAATGCGACGATGCTCATGCTTGCACGGCACAACGATCTCGACGGGGCGCTTCGCATCATGCGCGAGACGTAGGACATGTTCAATCGCCAATACCGCTATTCTGAGGTGTTTTTGACGTTGAGGGATCTCGGACGAGTTCAAAAGGTGCGTGGGCTGTTGAAGTCACTTGCATGCAAAGTTGACAATTGGCAAACAGACCGATAAGCAACGTTAGATCGGACCCATGTCGTTCAGCGTGGCTCCGCGCCGGCCTTGGGTCCACCATGGCTGGATCAACCAGGACAGGGCACAGGAAAGCGGGAACAAGATAGTGGAGAACAGGAACAAGATGGTGAAGAATAGCATTATCTATGGCGGTACGTGCATCACCCTTATTCCCCCGTGCTTTGTGATAGTAACGTATCCGTCATACAGGGAGTGTGTCAGAGTACTACCTGCTGTTCCAATCGGCGAGATGAGGCAGTTCGACGCAGGTACCGCAATATGCGCCGCTCCAGACATCGTCTGGAAGGCATTTTCGCCCACTGTCATCAATATTGGCCGAGACCTCGAATTCGACGTCCGTCATCTCCCTCTTACATTTTCTCTTCGAGTGGAATGACAAAGGTCGCGGAAGCGTTCTTGCGTGAGCGGCTGCCATGACGCATGACTCTCATTAATGCTACTGTTGTCATGTTCGCGACCGTCACCCATCTGCGGTGCCCCAATCGAGATTTCGTCTGAGTTGAACGGGTTCCGAGGCCAGCGCATGATCACTTTCGGGTGGGTAGAGGAGAACGGTGACTGTGATAGTAATCTCTCCGGCCCGTACCATGACCATCTACCCTTGGGATCCCAACCTCAATCAACACGACGCAGAAACAACGCCTCCATCTACTCCATCGTTACCAAGGTGAACACAGAGTTGCCTGGTCCGATATCCCAGAACAATAATGTAGAGCGAGTCGGTGAATATATTTGATGAATGATCATATAGCACGAGCTCTCGTGTTGTTCGACTTCTGGTACCACACCTGTTCATCTCATCATGTGCGAATATTATAAAGTGTATCTGTTCACATATAAGCCACAACACCACACCAGGGGTTAAACTGTCAATGACGCACCGATAGAAAGGTGACCTGTCCCCCAGTTCCGAGTATTCATGAGCTTGACTGTCACTCAAATCCTCCGACAAACAATATGCTTTCTTTTTCGCGTTCATCTGTGAGAACCTCAGCATGGCAACGATAGTAAGAAGAGCACTAGAGGATCGCTATCAATACACTAGTGAACGAGATTCCTCAGACTCATATATGCGTACAGTGTGGAAGAGCAAGCAATACTCGTTGCATGCCCTGGATGATAACGCGGGCTATCTGCCTGTCGATATATGAAGGAAGCTACGATCCTACAAAAAAAGTCAGCGGAGTGAGAAGTGGCGAATTGGGATCAACGTACGTTCCCGAATTTCCAATGCAGCCGAGCATAGCGATCATCACTCCACGCTTGATATCTCCTCCAGCATTCCCGCTTGTCCAGGCAAGTAGACAGGCAGATGCTGGATACACACCGCTAGCGGCAATCATGGTTCCAACATATCCTGTCACAGATGCGGTCGTAGCGAATAGCATGACGTATCCGGTGAGAGACAAGAGCGATGCAAGTAGGACGAATGGTCCGCGCGCGCCCAACCGGTCGGAAAACATCCCCAGAATGACCGTGCAGAGGCTGCCGCAAATGTTGGGAGGGATTGTCATGAGTTGCGCATGTATTGAAGAATACCCTAACCCGACTATGATGGTTGGGAGAAATACGGCGGATGAGTATAACGGGATGATCATGCTAGATAACATTTTCATGAGCACCCTCCCGGGTAGGTTCACGGTAAATGTCCACTGACAAAAAATCTAGCGTGGCCATGAGGTACGCATGAGGATCAGCGAGGGCTTGCATGATGTACTTCGTCTCGATAGATTTCGGTGAGCCTACAGTGTCTTCACGAATTGTTCGCACGAGCCATTCTCTCTCTTTCTCCGTTAAGAAAGAAGCAGTTTCAGGATACTGATGATCGTCAATTTTCAGCCAATGCGTGAGATAAAATAATGCAATAATGAGACGCACGTCGTCCATCCAGTAGAATGCCAGCAGAGAAATGACGGTTGTGACTTGACATAAATTAAAAGAGGTTGTTATGCAGGATCTTGTATTGACACGCACCAAGACCTTCCAACAGGAACTTCAATGCGACATCAGATATGATATGACAGCCATCCGCTCATAGGGGAGACGTACTATCCATGACCATCCAGCGAGCCCTCCAATGCTAGCCAGATTGAGTGCGAGGAGATAATGAACGCTATGTAAGCTTACCCGTTCATCTTCTCAATCGCAAAGGCAAGAAGGCCACCAAATGCGCCTAGACCTGGTGAGTGATTGGGTTGGAAAGTCTCCTTGCTATCACATACCAGCTGTACTTGACGCAGAGAGGAAGATTGATAAGCGTTGAGCTTGTGCTCTCCGTGGATACCACAGGCAGATGTAAAAGGAGATACCCGGAAACAGTCCAGCCTGTGATTGATTAGACGAACTATTGCAAGGAAGTGGACATGACCCGCCTCGGTGAGCCCCAGGAACAATCGTGCACTGGCCACAGAGATGGTCAGCAGAAATGAGATGAGATTGCAAGAACGAACACGAGGAGGCCGCGAAAATTCTTCACAAAAGTCATGCAGATCATGACGATGCTCCAAGAAAACATGATCGACGGAACTGGGATTGCGAATTGTCTATCATTCACTTGTCATGGCTAAGAAATGGAAAAAGGGAATACTCCATCGCGAAGGCTTGAAGTACTTGAGCGCGACGTTTCTGAGATGTTATATAAGATAAAAATAGACATCAGCAATGAGTCCACGTACGATGGTACATCGAGCAGGCAATATGGAATCTAGGCACTGTAAGGTGGATTTGGGCTCAATCGTTTAATTCACTCACGAAAAAAAGAGCACTGCATAGATTGAATTGCACGCCTTTTAAGCCTAAATCCGTCGTCAAACCTGCAATCTTGGCATTTCCTGAGCCTACTGTGAGCGTACATCAATTGAATGCAGATTTGGGCGTTCACTTGCCTATGTTGCCGCGATCTCTGTACCGTGAGTCAGAAGACAAGTCGTGCTGAGCTCAGATTTCTTCTGGGACTTACAAGTAAGCCAACAGGTACAATCCGGAAAGAATGGGAAGCAGATGCCAGTCAAGCTTTCGCATGACTTGGCGCGATAGATCCTCGTCGATGTTTTCGGAGATCTGGACGACGTCCGTATCTACGGGCTTATTCTTCTCAGTGAAGGACATCGTGAACCTTTTCTGTGAGTGTCGACGACGTAAGAGCAGGACAGTATCCTCATTAAATGGGGCTGATAAATGTCCAATGCATCTGAAACGAGGGTAGCAGCTGAGTGGGAGGCGGACAAGGACACCCCGGCCCGAGACTCAACATTGCTATCGAGACACCCAAAGTGCGTGGCCAGCGCAATCACCGCTATGGTGCCTCTGCGATCATGATGAATTTCTAAACGAGTTCAGCTGACCTATCTTTGACTGAACTCTAACCTAAGAAGAGGAGAGGAGTAAGGCCTGTAAGGGTTTATGCCGGACGAACGTCGTAGCATTTAATCCAGCAGTGTCTCACGCAAGATATTGTCCAGCTACAACGTGCATTCGTTTGACTGTGATCTTCGAGGAAGAGGTAGCAGAGGGAGGCTGACATACAATCAAAGTTGATGAAGATTTCATGCATCTGTCAACTCGATATCTCTCCACACGAAGGTCTCGCGAGATAGGGAAGATAGTGGTTCCAGTGTCTGCAAGAGAGAAGCACGCACCGCTTATCTATCTCATTCCCGTTCCTATCGTGGAATAATAATAACATGCCGTATGCTGATATCGACAGCACGAACGAGCCCTTTCATTAGAATTGCATAGAACCCGCTTACGAAGTGCGCAACTTCCGCAACGCATAGCAACTTATCCTATTGGTTCACTGTTCCGAATTAACTATCTAACGTATCGATTAAAACATCAGCTTCGCTTGATAATCACCACAGTGGGCCAGACACTCTCCTATATCTATCTGTTCAAAATTGGCAGATGATCCGCTAGTCGAAATCGCATCGGCATATCTTCCCTGAACTTTGCCAAACGGGTGGATCTACAGAGAACCTTTTCACGCTGGTCAATCTGCCTCAAACAATCGTCGAACGAAGCGGGACGGCACGACGCTCAAGAAAGACACTGCAATGGACCGGTTTTGTGATGGCAGTAAGTAGGAACGCCTGATGAGGTTGGAACTGGATTGCGTAATCTCTTGCAATCAGACAAGAATGCTCTCAGCAACGATGAAGCATATGCACATACTCAGCGTCATGAAATCCCCACTAGCGAGCCAGGGTTACCTCTCGACGACCGTCTGTCATTTTTCTGCACATCGATGAAGTTTATCGTGATCAGTTTGTTTCCAAGTGGTCGGCTGGCCATCGAACCCTCCACCGGATGGACTGCATGCACGGCAGACTGTCAAGGCACCGAAACCGACGTAGATAAGACACTTATCCCTCGATGCATGCTGTCATTCCTGGACTTACAACGACACGCATTCATACGATCCATGGAAATGCTGAAAGATTTATCCCCCCCCTCGCCGACATTGGATATAGCGGAGCACTCATGATGAATGATGGACCAACGTCAAAGAGCGTTCACATTATCGCAGAGGACGACACGCGAGAGGACGTTCAAGAGAGGACGTGCGCTCTGCGTTCAAAGAATTCACGTGACTACCTGATGGCGACTCTCGACCTTGCCTTCGTTCCGCTCTCGACATACCAAAGTCCATGTCATGCCATCCTCTCAATATTCCGTCCATCTTCCGCACTGTAAGGTGTTTCGAAGTTGGTGAAGACTTGATTAAAGTAAACATCTCAATATTCCTACTCTTTTGCCAGAGTATTCAAGATGTACTGAAGCTACACCAAGCGAGAGGTTAAATATAGGCAGTACATCATAAAAGCACCAAAAAGCCCGCCAGGCGCGCGCTGAGTTCGCAAAGCCACTCCTATTTTTCTTCGCCCACATAGGCGGCTTCAGATGCTAGTAGTTCCGCAAAACGTACCGTAGTTCGATTGGAAACGGTGTGACATGACTCTTGAAAGCAGGACAAATGCTGGTCATATATTCATTTTATCATATAGAGCAGTATACAGCTTGTTGCCGCAGTGAGATAGGCAGCGGGCAGATTGGTCTCTTTCCCATTCTCGTCTATGGCCTTCGAGATGTCGAAAGTGGCGAGAATGCACGACATCATCGGGAACGCTGACGCTTCCACGAAATGAGCTCCTGGCATTGCTGTATATAAGCATCGTCAGGCTCAAGGGTTTACTCCATGACAGGACAGCGCCTAGGCAGACTCGGCGCCCGAAGTCGAACATGACTTTGCGTGAGGTTAAGTCGTGGTAAGGCGCTCTGGCTTTAATGCGAACGGATCTGGGGCATGAGCGAAGATACAAGTCAAGTGCAGCCGGTAAAAGAACAGGAACCAGAAGAGTTGCTGACCACACGTCTGCATATCCCACGGTCCCTTCGAAATCAGGTAAGGCTGATGAATACCGTTTCCTGTCACTCGATGCAGCAGCGCTTGCGGTGGAGTCGTGCCAATCAGCTCCACAATGCATTGACTGACACATCGGATGGGGTACTCGCCTAGTAGCGCTACTAGCTGCGGCCCATCGCAGCCCTTCACGAGCGCCCGGACGTACGGTAGATTCGGCTGGTCGTCCACGGTGGGCAGTCTATGAGGCCCGATGACATGAACAGTCTCCGCTTGTGAACGCTTTTGGGCTGCTGGATTTAGCACCATCACGAGGATTAACGCCATGAGCACACCGACGACCTGGATTGTGTTCTGCATTCTATGATGGCAAACATGGGCATGTAAGCGGCACACCCCAGCGTCTCCTGCACCATTTGATGGTGTCCTCCTCTTCGCCGTTCGGTCTAAGCGATCCGACTGTCCCCCTACTGCACGTTCAGGGATGTGGACGACTCGACATATTTGCCGGATTCGTGAGCATCGATGCATTGATCAAGATAGAGTCAACGTCAAATTATACTCTAGCTAAGAATTTGTTGCCTCGCCGCTTATGAGGGATGGTGTCAATGCGGGAGACCTCCTTTGCAACTTAGCGACCTGCCGTCTGAAGTCTGCAAAAGAAAACCACGCTGGGATGAACTTTACAGCGGAAGAGGTGATCAAGTCGAATAAACACCGGCAGAATGGCCGAACACATGGATACACGCACGTATAGATTAAATACCTGTCCACCTTTCACCTTCAAGGACTCCCCCATGAGCGACACGAATTAGTCGTCGTTCTCTGCACAATCCATCCATAGATGACCTTTAAAAGTGACAGCTCCTGCATTTCTGGCCAGTGTAATGTGCATCAGTGACGACCGGATTTCGCCCTATCGATATGATTTCGTTCGCTATCTCTTAACGTGAGAGATGAATTACTTGAGCGACTCTCAAGCACGTACAAGAGCGTGTGCATCTCTGCTTCCTGGATCGGACCATAGCTGCGTGTAGCGCGATTGGACTCGCCCGCAGCAATTTGCCACCTTTCTTGAACCGAGGATGTTTCACTGATGTGTTGGATATAGCGAGCATCCTGCCGGCGACCTCCTTGTATATCCATGCCATCGGTCGGTCAGAGTAGACAGCCGAATGTGTGTCGAACAGATCGAGAATTGCATGCAACGGATACAGGACGAGTAACCTCCGGCGGTAGATACGGAAGTACACAAGACGATCTGTCCGAGGCGAGTAAAATCTACATCAAGGAGTTTCGCGGACGCATACCATATTCCTGCGACATCAGCGAAGACTCGGAGGCTGGAAGCTGGTGAACATTACCTGCCCAAAAGTAGGCTTAGGCCAGGAAAATTCGTACATGATGGTTGGTCACCTCGAGTCGCAATTGGTGGAGTGATAATGGGACTCAAGCGCCGATTCGTAGCAGCTTCGTAGGACAACCACAGCAGCAATTACGACGCCAATGGTTTGGACGAGGTGACCATGCAATCGTCAGGCTCTCCACGTCGTTGATCCGAGGATTGTCCGATATTAAGAATGGGCGCGACAGGGATTCCACGATATCTGCTGCGCACGTCCGGCGCAGACATCATGCATGTTGCATTGACGCTTCGTGCCGATGTCGCCTCCGAATGGGCGCACAACTGTCCCTAATAGATGCAGGGCAGTAAACTAGCGGCCGGATTGCAGTCTCGTGTTTCAGAGCAAAAAGGTAGCGCTGACTTGCCCAAATTGGCCATAATTACACGTTCTTTCCCTTCGCCACCTGTCTCGCTTAGGTCCCGTTCAGAACATCCTATGTGCTAGCTATTCCTCCGCACCATATAAACAGGCTCGGAATTGTATGTATCGCGTGGCAAGGGCGTCGATTTCATAACTTATATTCTACGCAGAATAGACGATATCTATCAACGGAACAAGACGGCATATCCGCAGCGCCCGGCGCATGCATCGGTTCCTGTCTACGTGCCAACGCCGTGCAGACAACGACATTTGGATAGTCCTTTGATCGACATCTGTGAAAGATAAATGTCCAACTGGAGCACTTCTGATTACTTGGCAAGGTGACTAGCTTTCCTCCCTGTCTTTTATCCCTCCTGAACCTCTCCGCATTGATTATTTTAAGATCAGCAACGACGCCCGCATACCATGCAATCGTTAAATTGCCGCAATATCATCGTAGCCTTACAAAAAGTCACCACCAAGCGTCCGGTGATACTAGTTCTGATCGTTTATTTATACACCTCCTTGGCGTTTAACACCTTGCTCAACATCTGCTGAAAACTCCAAGCTACATTCTCTCAAGAAATATGGCTGGTTCAGACAGTTTGACTAGCGCGATGCGTCAAATGTTGGCCAAGTTCACCACAGACTTTCCTACCCGCCGAACCTACAGCAAACCTATTACCGAGCCTTTTACAGGCCGAGATGTCGTCTTGATTACCGGCACTACGGGCAGCTTTGGCTGTCATCTTCTTGATGCTCTCATCGCCGCACATGACGTCTCACGCGTATACGCATTGAATCGGCGGTCCACAAAGCCTCTGCGCGAGCGACAGGCAGCGGCACTGCAGGAACGTGGCATCGATGCAAGCATATTGAATTCCGAGAAACTCATCCTCCTCGAGAGCGATATCACTGCGGAGAACTGGGCCTTGCCCCAAAGCGTATTCCACGAGGTACGAGATATGAACTTACGTATGTGCATATTTCGTGTCGATAGTAGCTTGTAGATGCATCTGTCAGTGACTCACGTCATTCACAATGGTATTTCGGTCATTCACTCTCGAAACACGTCTATGCTAATTATTACATTTAGCATGGCGAGTGAACGTCATCGCCAAGCTCCCAACGTTCGAGTCTGTCCTGCAAGGCCTCCGAAACTTTATTGACTTCTGTCTCACTTCTTCACTACCTTCGCCTCCTCGACTTCTTTTCACCAGCTCCATGGGAGTGATACAAGGTTTTTTTTTCATTTCCACTGTTCCAAAGCGTTCACTGAGAATATTTTCGTATTTCAGGCGCCCCCCGAGACATGGCTATCCCAGAGGCAGCTGTTCTACCAGAACTTGCAGTTAGCAACGGATACTCCCAGTCAAAGTGGATTGCCGAGCAGATGTTGTTTGCTGCTGCTGCGACGACGCCACTAGATCCGTTGGTGGTACGTGTCGGCCAGCTTACAGGGGGCAAAGCCGGGGCATGGGCACCGCAGGAGTGGTTTCCCGTAATGGTACAAAGTGCGCCTTACGTCGGATGCTTCGCAGATGACCCGAGGGTAAGTAATAATTGATATCCTATTCTTCCATAAGGTTTCATTATCGATTACTACCAGGATGTCCTTTGGGTGCCGTTCGAGATTGCTGCAGCCGCACTGCTTGATTTTCGCAAGGCATCAAATGAAACTCATGTGGTACACCTCGTCCATCCACAACCCGTAATCTGGCACTCGCTTGCCGCGGTCATCTCGTCAGAGCTCTCCGTTCCTCTTGTGCCCTTCGCAGAATGGCTTGCCAAGCTCGAGCATGCAGCTCGTTCTGGATCTACAGACAATATGCCTCAACAGATCACACGCGCCGCACAGCTCATCCCCTTCCTACGATCGTTACTTGAAGCCAAATTGACCACCAGATTGGCGCTGAGTTGGCCGGAAGTAGAGGAGAAGCGAGCGTTGGAAGCATCATCGACACTTGCCGATCCTGCTTTGCGTCGGTTGGGCGCAGACGATGTCAAACGGTGGATAGCATACTGGGAGAGATGCGGGGCCATGTCCAGAGAGCGCCCGGCACGTTTGTGAGTTTGCACGGCAGGAGCGAAGTCGCTGCCATCTCCTTCGCTCTGATCGTTGTAAGCGTGATACTATGGCATCCCGTAATCGTTCTGTTCTCATGCGTATTGTCTTCGATCTCAATGGCTGGTAGTACCACATGCAAGCTGACCATGCTATATCACTTCGCTCCGAGTGATTTGCGCCAATCCGCATCCGTAGTGTTCAGGAAGTGCACCTCCCCAACTGTCAATACAGGCGTTCTCTTGTGATAATCAGTGATGGATCGATACAGAGGAATTCTATCTCCCACTGCTGGGAATTTATGTCAGCCCGCTTGCTATCGGTGCCCTCTCTCAAGCAACGCTCTTGCTTCATGGATTTCGGTCGGGAGAGTCATCGATAATCATGCTAGACATGTCACAAGCTGCGATGACGGGTCTGTGACATGCGACCGTGCAATATCGCGGGCGCCCAAAAGTTTTGTCGGTGGTGGCAGACCGTGAAACGAGCGTTCGTGATGAAAGGTCTTGTGACTGTGACGCGCCAGATGCCAATACCCAAGCCGAAGCGGGAACAGCAATTCCTTCTGCAACACGACTTCGTCTTTACATCAACACGAGACTGTCAAGTGAAAACTTCTTGACATCCATCGTGGCTGAGACGATTGATCTTTGTCGCTACCGCATGGAAGACATTGTATATACCATCATTATGTGATCTTTCTTCCGTGAAACTGATACTCACGGGCTGTCCACATACATTGCAATGGCTTTGCTTCTCGACTAGGTACCGCAGTGCTCATGTGAGAGCCTTTCAGGTATTCTTGTGATGGAAGGTATTGCATTGACGCTGCATCTGATGTCAGGGATTGGTCCATTGCCACAGCAAGCGCTTCCGCTTCGCAAGAGATTGTCCGTGATACGGTAGAAGTCTTCTGTGGGAGCTCCGCTCGACGGCATGAGCCTACTGGGCGTTTCTATAGTGCAAGACTCCTTTTCCTACTCTTTCCTAGCCCATGCGTAATTTCTACCTGAAACACCATTGATGAACGCGGAACACCCAATCGTTAGCATCGCCCAGGCTGGCGGCGAAGTGTCATGACTCCCGGTGCTGATGATGATGAATCTGCTGATACTAGCAATCCCTCTCTCACACTTTGATGGCCGTCATCGGCATGCGATTCTTTGCGCCCTCCGGTGATAGAGACCTAGTATGTAAGCAGAGCATCAGCGCGCACATCCCCGATAGTTCTACTTGACCGCACTTATAGCATAGAGACATCGGAATAATCAAGCATCCTCTGCCTTCGACAATGCCTCGCTTATAATGCGGCTTTACCGAACTCGACTCATCATCTTCTAATCGCCCATTGAGTCTTTTCGCCTCATCCCCGTCGCCTCCCATAAGCCGGGGCAGCAGGACCGTCCATTCAATGTCGGCCAGCATCATTAAAGACGCTCAGCTCATGTGAGTTTCGCAACTCCTCTACTTCGCCCTTGATGGTGAAATAGTGTGACTGATGATGCGGCAGCGATGGCCCTGGTCTAGTCGGCGTCTTTATGAATGTGATGTATGTTATTGTCGACACAGCACTCCGCGCGAGATGAGGCTCATACAGATTAGGTTGTATGGAGTGCTTATAACGCAGACATTTTTCTACTTCACGACATATCCACGGTAAGCCCCCCAAGCATCTTCCTCGATCAGCTATGAATTCAGGGTTGCAGTGATCCCAAGTGGCTCAAATACTATGTATGTTACATATGCATGCGGTTTAGACTCCTCGTTGAAAAACCTGACGCTCTGGATAGGTTGCCTTGCTTTTTTTCATCGATACCTTAAACACAATCTTCAATACGTGGTGGATCTACAACGTTCTCGTCAACAACTTTGGTGCGTGCAGAATTTTGAGCTGCTGTTTACTGGTTATGCCTAAATTGCAATGTCACTGCAGGAGTACTCGACAAAGTTGTCAGGGCAAACTGGCGTATGTGCACATCCCTCTATGCTGCCTGTGTTGATGATCTGATCTGAATCTCGCTCTGGGTATACAGTTCTTGAGACCGGTATGTTTGTGTGCTCTACACCTGGTAGCGATTTGCAGGCTGATATAACGCGCGATAGAGGAAGCGTTTGCAGTGTGTTATTCGCATCGCTGGATTTAGTAACAATCTGTTGACGATGTCATTGCTAGGGCATTATTGGGATGCAGGTCCAATTGTTCTATGCTTGGCGGATCTACAAGCTTACAGGATACAAATTTCTTACTGGCATCATTGTTGGAACTTCGATTATTCAATGCTGTAAGCATCGTGCCACTAGTCGCAGGGAATCAATGCGAGGTTGATACTGATGTCGCGAATATTCGATGTAATCCAGTGGCTGGAATCGGGACGGCAATCAACATCGCTATTCAGCCTATATTTACGAAGTTTTCTTCTGAAAAGGTACACGAAGAGCAATTAAGCCGATACGTCATCTCACAGGGGCTTACAGGACGTCGTCGTAATTTGGCTGTCGGCCGCGGCCCTAACCGATGTGCTGATCGTGTCCGTGTTGACATGGCACTTGGTGAGTGAGCGATAGACCAGTTGCTTATCGATGTTGACTGTCGGTTCCCTACTTGAAGCGGAGACAGCGAACAGGGTATGCACAAACCGACACCATCATCTCCAGGTTAATGCAGAGTGAGACATGCGTGTATCGCTTCAGAAACCAGACGATCTTACGCGTGTTGATAGTCACGATGTCGAACGGGCTGTTGACGGCAAGTTTGCGTTAGCAACACTTATTGCCTTTGTATCTTCGGTATGCATATCAGCCGATGTATAAGAGAGATGCAGTTATAACTTTTATGCCGTAGACTGCTGGATACCACCTGGGTAGGAGGACCAGCTGTCCTTTGCTCGCGCCTCGCCTGACTGCTATCCATCAGCATTCAACTATACGCTGTGCAAGCTGTACGTCGCGCCTTTCATCCGAAGGGACAATATTCTGAAACGCAGTTTACGTGATAGATATGGAAATTCTGTGATGTCTAGCCTAAATACTCGTGCGATTCTCTTGTCCTCGAAGTTTGAAAGCCAAAGCATACGGCTCCCGCCCACGACGAGGGTGAGTCCCGAACGCAAATGTTTCGATGTGCTGTCCGCCGATTCTTTGACGTGTAAGACCGCAACGGACATTGAGGACTTCATTGCAAGTCCCGCCTATAGGGCAACAAGGGCGACACAGCCGACTCAGGTATGATCACGCAGCTGATCATGTATTTCATGCCCTCATAAGATGACATGTAGGTCGTGGTAAGCGTGGAGACTCACGAGATGGTTGATCTCTCTGCCGAGGTTTCCAAAGCTGGCGAGCCCTGGCCAGAAAGAGACATCGTCGACTCTAAGGCGAGCGTTTCCGTTTGAGAGAAATCGCAAGACGCACGTTTCCTCAGTAGGTATACATGCTTTATAATTCTCGCGTTGTCCACCTCTGTAATTGCTATCTTTGCTTTCTGTAAGCTTCCTATGCCTATCTTTATGCTGTCGAAATCCCCAGTCTTGTACTCGCCTAACTTGTAATCTATGTAGTCCAGTCTTGTATTCGCCTGACTTGTCGGTCCATGTTAACCCTCCATTGGCAACCAATATCCTACTAATATACGTCCTAGAGGATCGACCCAGATCTTACTCTCTTCCTCGATCTTGTCTTAGTTGCACTGACACCGTGAATGCGTAAGTGAGGGACACCGCACGGTGTTTGCATTCGTCCGTATGACTTGCGTAGCGATCATCAGGAGCGTGATACTGCGATCACAGGGTCCCATAATTCTTTGTCACTACGCACATTGCCTTTGATTTCGATCGCTTGATATCGCAAGTAAAAGAACCACGCCCTGACAGTGCAACAAGGTATATTCTGTCTCGGTGCACCCTGCCCTATTTACCCCGAGCTTCGTGAGCAGGGTTCACAGAGTGTACCTATGGCGGTGTCAATGCGTTTTTTTTCCATTGTCACAACCAATGACGTACCGATACAAAGGAGATCTATCTCCCATTTCTGAGAATTCAGCCACCCGCGTACCATCAATGCCTTCTCTCAAGCAATATTGTCGTTTCTTGGCATTCAATCGGGAGAATTCTAGCATTGCGATAATGCTGAGAGTGGCACTACCGAAGTCAATCAGAAGTAGAGCGATGGCGAGGAATGGATCTGCGTACAGCATAGAACAGCATCCAATATTTGTGGCGTGCCCCGGATGATACCTTGGGCTGTCTTGCTGTCGGTATACGAAGGACGATGCGATACTGCAGCAAGACAGTTAGAGGCGTGCCAGCCATTTTCATGTATGTAAAATACACTCACGCTCCCATATTCCCGATCCCTCCGACAATGGCTATCATCACCCCGCGCTTGATATCGCCTCCAGAGTTCCCACTGGTCCAGGCAAGCACGCAGGCCGAGGACGGATACAACCCACAAGCAGCAATGATCGCCCCGACATACCCTACGACAGGCACCGTGGTGGCGAATAGCATAACGTATCCAACGAGAGAGGTGAGCGCTCCCACAACCACAAATGGCCCGCGCATGCCGACGCGATCGGACAGTATCCCCAGACTTATGGTGAATATGCTGCCGCAGATGTTGGGTGGGATCGTCAAGAGCTGTGCGTGTATCGCCGAGTATCCCAGTCCGACGATGATTGTTGGGAGGAAGAGAGCGAATGCGTACAAAGGGACCACGATGCTGCGGAGGAATGCGAGATAAATATTATAGCATAGAGATTCTCGGGAAGCCTTGGTTACACACAAGAAATCGAGCGCGGCGAGCAGATATGCATGAGGATCGGCCAATGCTTGCAAGACATATTTGATCTTGATGGCCTTCGATGATCCTACAACGTCTTCGCGAATCGTGCGCACCAGCCATTCTTTTTCTTCGATCGTCAAGAAAGAGGCTGTCTCGGGATACTGATTAAGGACCAGATTGAGGGGATGTCAAACGCAAACAAAGAGTGTCAGGACATACATCCTGCATGTAAAGGTATGCGAACACAGAAATGATGGCCGTAACTTGCAACAGAATGAAGAACGTTGTGAGTGTGTAGAGGTTTGACATGCCTACCGAGACCTTCTAGCAGGAACTTGGCATAGATGTCAGGTCATGCACTGGTGTCCGAGTCTCATATATGACTATTTCACATACAATCCAGGACCACCCGGCTAGTCCTCCAATGCTTTTCGGACTCAGTACAGCTTTGTCTAGAGAGCCGGAGTAACTTACCCGTTCATTTTCTCAATAGCAAAAGCCAAAAGGCCACCGAAGGCACCTGAAAGTCATGAGCAGCCGAGAGTGAAGTGCTCTACGTTCCACTCACCAGCTGTGCTCGACGAGGAGAGGAATATAGACAGCCGTTGCGCTTGAGCTTTGCGTGGATACCATAGGCATAGATAGAACGATACGCCCGGAAAGAGACCCGACTACAACATGTTAGAAAAGATCAAGATGTAGTTAGCATTTTACCTCGGTGACTCCAAGGAAAATGCGTGCGCTAGGGTAGCATGTCAATCATGAGCACGTCGGCGGAATTCATGCTACTACTCACATCAGAAGGCCGTGGAAGTTCTGCACGAACGACATACAGATCAAGACGACACTCCAGCAGAGCATAATTAACGGGACTGAAGGAACGGATATTGAGTCTATTTGTCGTCTTTAGGTAATATAGGAATATACTCCATCGAGAAGGCTTGAAGTACTTGAGAGCAACATTCCTGCCACCATGTCAGCTGGGCTGAGAGAGTATTTACAATAATTTCCTTATTTACGCAGGTATGTCTAGCAAGCAATATGGGATCTGTCGGCCGCCGTCAGAAAATCTTTATCAATAGAAAGCGGCAATTGCCACGTACAAAGAAAAGTGCAGTGCACAAATTGAACTGCACCCCTGTCAAGCCTAGGTCCGTCGTCAATCCCGCGATCTTTGCGTTGCCTTAAAAGTATCAATCAATGCCCTTCCCAGGAGCACCGGTGCATCACGCACCAACGTTGGTCCGATCTCTGCATATTGATCCACGAAGCAGGTCAGGAAGATTTTATGATGCGACTATCGCGCGAGTATCACTCACAGGAATGCGAACAGATACAGAATGGATACGAAAGGAAGGAGGTGCCAGTCTAGCTTTCGCATGACGCGGTGGGACAGATCATGTTCGTGATCGACAGATTGCTGGGCAATGTCAGACTCCGGGATTTTCTCTTCGATGCTGGCCATCATGCACTGTCACCATGAGTACTGCAATATGATAGAGCTTATAGCGTCTCGATTGGTAGCACATGATAGATGACTTCTGTATCGAACGACCATGTCGAGGAGAGCCGTTAAGTAGGGACTCGTTCCGGATGCTCCTTCCGATCCGTCTCGCCGTTGCATGATCCAGCCATTGCACAACTTTCCCCCTCGTCTTCCCTCACGGCGCTTCTGTGGGCCTTGATAGATGCCAAAGATGCTCAGCTGACGTGTTTCAGAACGAACTTTAATTATAGAAGACGAGAACATCAGTCACCTGGAGTTGCATGTCTGCGTGCTATTGGGCATGAATTCCGACGATACTGCAAGGGGATATTGTCGCCCTATCACCTGAACTAGCAGCCGTAACTCGAATGCAAAGTGGTGTAGGGAAGCCCATTGACACAAGTTACGCACACTGCTGACGAATATTATCTCGGCGATGGGCGAAGGATACGCGTGATAGCATGAATCGCGCCAGTGGAAGGCAGCTATAATCAATGTACATGCGCAATTGATATACTTGTGGTTTCTGTGAGCTCGAGCGCTATCTTGAAGCTTGCGATAGAAATACGCCAGGTCTATGGTGCTCCTTCGTCACGCTATCACTTAATAAAAGCAATGGACCAAGCGCAGGGGACTTCTGCGTTGGGCGAAGATGGCGGGGTCAGCAAAACCACAGAGAAGAAGCTTCTTGTATTGAACTTGTATAATCTTTCGACGGTCAATGATTTGAGCAGCACTAGATGCCGCCATGATTGAATACCTAAGGAAGTCCGGAGACAATCAGATTGCTCGCTTTCGGAGCCTCCATGCAGGGCAGCTTCGAAGATCGAAGCGTGATGCAACGAAGCAGCTGCTCAAGCAGCAACGGCAGCGATAGATAATATTGTGAAGGGTATCATGGCGGCAGTCGGCATCCAGGGTCTTATTGAATGAGCGATGTCGGAAACAATCATAGCCTGGGATTGAGTCCGGGGACGCGAGGATCAGTGACAGCACGATAGCTTAGTAAGTTGATGTCATCATGAGCCGGGAGCCCAGAATCCTTCATGCAGTAGACAGATGTCCCGGAGCCCTCGAAACGTGATGAGATAGAACGAGATGTCGGTGTGTGAAAAACATTGTCAGGCCCTGGTAGGCTGTTGCGCGCGCCGTATTGGCTTCCTTAGGAGGTATTGACTCTGCCCGCGCAGTTTTCTTAGATGGCCCAGGTACCACATTGGATCCCGCGGCTTGAGGAATGAGCGACGCCAGTGGGCATGTACAATGGGCTCATGGATGTGGTGGCTCGGATAACGCCAATCCAATCGGCGCAGGCAGATTTCACGTGACCCAAGTGGCTGAAAGTTGCCCGGTGTGTGAACGTCTGTGAACGTCCTCCCTTCTCAGTTGCAAAGCGTGCCAAAAGCACATAATCACGTACTGCTTTCTTCCGTTGAACTTGCACGTTGCTGATGCTGGATTCAGGTCTCGAGTTCTGATTGACACAATGGCGGCCGTGTGGACAAAAATATCCGTGGCAAAACTCACGGTCGCGATGGTAGCCATTGCGCTGAGAAATATGGGCGAATGAATTAGAGCCAATAGTCAAAGACAAACTAAATTGCCGTGCTCAGCCGCTGTGACGGAGCAAGAACAGTAGCAATATCGGCATTCTCGCGCCACATCGGTCATTGGACGTTCCCCGCGACGCTGGTCTCAACATCGCTTAACCCCAGTATGGACACTTGAGCGGCCTGACTCCGTGATAGAATACATGTTTCACCGGTGGAGAATTGACGTTCAATGTACGAGGCTGTGCGTCTGAGTCAAACGCTGCGGCGCTCATGCTCGCTCATGTGGGAGTCTCTCAGTGTTCCCGTGATGGAAACGTAACGTTAAGATAGCTCCACACGCTCAGGATTGGTGGACTCATCCGATAAGGCGGGCTTCTTGCACGATTGTCCATGGTACGGGGTAAGGTGTTTACCAATAGGAGCTCAGCTGTTTCTTCCGACAGCGCGAAGTTGAACAAAGCTGAGTTGTCCTTTTCAGTCATTTCCGGTCGATTACCGTTTGGCTTTGAACCACCGTTGGTGAATCCGAAGCTATTCGGCAGAGCTGTGTGCCGGCAAAACCTGCTGGGGCCACCGGTATGACTATTCCTCACCAGCACTTTCCTTCCTCTCTCACGCTTGGGGTCATTATTGACATGTATTTCGCAGTTGTCCGCTCACCAACAAATCAGAAGTAGCACATGAACAAGACATCATCTTCACGTCTACTCCTACACTTTCATCGCACTGCGCTTATAATAGGACTGCGACATCGGAGCAATCAGGCGCCTTCCGCTTTTGACGAACACCTCGCTTATAACCTGCATCGGCCAACCTCTCCTTGAGTTCTCTCCCTTGAAACCCGCGGCAACAACTCCCCCAATATCATGTCAGCCGAGATCATCAAAGACGCCCAGCTTATGTGAGCTTCGGAGTCCTTCAGCCCTTATCTGTATAAGTTTAGGCTGATGATGTGGCAGCGATGGCCCGGGTCTAGCTGGTGTATTTATGAATGTGATGTACGTCGTTAGCGCAGCGAATCACGCGAGACGAGACTCATTCAAGTCAGGTTGTATGGAGTGCTTATTACCCAGACATTCTTCTACTTCACGACATATCCGCAGTGAGTCGCTTAAGAACTATTCTTCCGGATTAGCAATAAACCCACAATCCCAGTGATCCTAAATGGCTCAAATACTATGTGCGTCATGTGCATGAGCAGTTCAAACATTCGATGAAAGAGCTCTGGATAGGTCAGCTTGCTTTTTTTCGCGGACACCTTAAACACAATTTTCAATATTTGGTGGATTTACAACGTGCTGATCAACAACTTTGGTGAATACAGCGATCTCAACTATCCTTTAGCATAACATCTGATCACTGTATTTTTACAGGAAATGTTAATGCAGTCGTCAGGGCAAACTGGCGTATGTGCAGATTACTTCGTTCCGTACACATATTAGTCTGAACGGCGCTTGGATACGGACATGCAGTAATGCAGACCGGTATGTCTGTGCGAGTCGATCGACGGTTGCTCACGATTTGCTTACCGATATGCATGCCATAGAGGAGGCCTTTGCTGTGTGTTATGACCTTTGCTTGCTTTTCTGAGAACTTCTTGACACTATCATTGCCAGGGCATCATCGGGATGCAGGTGCAACTATTCTACGCCTGGCGGATCTATAAGCTTACGGGATACAAATATCTCACTGCCGTCATTATCGGGACTTCGGTTATCCAATGCTGTGAGCGCCACTTTGTCACTGATGCAGTTGGTATGGATTGATGCTGACGATGTGATCGTGCGACGCATCATAGTGTGTGCGATTGGGACGGCAATCAACATCGCCTTCGAGCCTGTCTTCACGAGGTTTGCGCATTACAAGGTACGCAAAGAGCTGACAAGTCAAAACACCTCCTTATACAACCTTCAGGAAGTCGTCGTTATTTGGCTTTCAGTTTCGGCTGTTACGGATGTCTTGATCGTGTCCACACTGACATGGCATCTGGTAAGTGAGGACTTAACGACTCGTCTATGGACGCTGAATCCCTTGCCCGATCCATAGCGACGATCCCGAACAGGTTATGCGCAGACGGATACCATCATCTCCAGGGTGATGCAGAGTGAGATACACATGCATCGCTTGGGACACCAGCTGACGCTATGATAGTCACGGTGTCGAACGGATTGCTGACGGCAAGCTTCGCGATAGCCACGCTTATCGCCTTTGTATCTTCGGTATGCATACTGGTCGTACAAAACATACAATACGCAATTCTGATATGCATGCCGTAGACCGCAGCATACCATTTGGGTGAGGGACTTAGTAATCCGTACTCGCGCACCTTTTTGACCCTATTCATCAGCATTCAACTATACGCTGTGCAAGTTGTACGTTTTCCGTTTTTTTTGAAGCGACAGTGCTCTGAAACATGATTGATGCAATAGATACGGGAATTCTCTAATGACCAGCTTGAATTCTCGCTATATCATTGGGTCGGCAAGGTTCAAAACCCAAAGCATCCAGCTCCCGCCCATAACCGGAGTGAGCACCGGATGCGAGCGTCTTTACTTGATTGCAGCTGACTCACTAATCCATCAGACCACAACGGATGTGGACGACTTCATGTTTAGCCGAAACCACCTACCGACGCAACCGGCACGGGTAAGACTTACACTTTGATGATCAGTTTATTACATCTTTCAACGGTATGCAGGTCGTAGTAAATGTGGAGACCACTCAGATGGTCGATATATCCCCGGAGGTTTCGAAGGCCAGCGGACCATGGGCAGAAGAGGATATCGTCGACTCCAAAGCCGGTGTTGCCGTGTGAAGGGAAATGCTTGCCAGAAGCATATTCTGTGAGCGGAACATCTGTGTTATAATTCATGCTTGGTCCAGCTTTGCAAGTGCTCTCTTCGCTTTTTTTATTACATACCGTTGTCGGTCCTTTCCCACATTGCGAAACTAGTCAATCATGTACTCGTCCATCTTGGAATATATGGCCCTCTCCTCTGCAGTGGCTTAGGTCATGGCAACGTTGAATAATATCAATACAAGTTATATGCTACAACCATTGTTTGCTATGTTCGTCGATAGCCATCTTGTACCTATATCATGTCCTTTCTCCGTCGAGTCGTCTGCTCTTCCTTAATCCTGTACTGATCATGTCAACTCCAGTGGACGACCGAGTGTGCACAGCACTTGCGATAGCGTGCATGGCTTGTACCAGGCTGGTGAGAACAACTGGATGATGGTGGCACTGCGGTGCCACGATGACGGCTCCACCATGATATTGGATGGTTTTACCTTCGAGACGAGCTTGTTCGGCAGGCTAGAATCAAAGATGAGTGGGATCGCTCGTCCTAGAGGTGATCTTCATACTTGCGGCGCTGCTGCTGCCAGTGGAATTGACGTGGAAGGGCACCAAGGTGTGACTACAGGTGGAACTCGTAACTGCACCATAAATCTCCTGCTTGTTACCGACCGGCTAGAAGAAGGGATAATGCCCGATAGGTATGCTGTTGAGCAAACGATCGGACTCACCTTACCCAAACGACTCAATCTCCTACGAGATATAACATCGGACTTTGCTTTCTTCAGGGCGGCAGGAGTCGTTTTGATTAGAACCTCGTTTGGTGTCCGATATCGCATTGCCCTTGCCAATGACCAGTGGTATTGATCCGTATGCCGGCCGTCAACTCGACTGGAAAGAACATCGGACTATGTCGAGGTATGGTATGGACAATCCAGTCAGATATATGATATCATTCATGGACCTCAGCAACCGAGATGCGCCACCCAAAATTGTGGATAAAGGAAACAGAAAACCGAGCATTGCTCCCAGATATTATCCGGGTATGTACTCAGAAATGCGTTGGAACTTGGCATCGCGGTGACCAGTAATCCGACTAACGAGAGCATCAGCTGTCATGTCATTCGGAGGGCAATGAGCATGGTGTGAAATCCGTTTGCCAATAGGAGAAGCTTCGAGATCAGGAGCGAGCTGTATTACAAAAACTCAATGTTAGGATGCTCACCACGCACGCTGCGATTGCTTCTAATAAAGGTTATTCAAGACACACCGCTTGTCCAGAATGCAGGATGTAGTATGCAGAAGCGTCAGCACTCAACAAGTAAAGCCGCGGCTTACATTTCCTGAGGAGCTCCTCGATGTAATCGCAGCTGTTCATACGGCAATTGGTGATTGCAGCGGTAATGCGAGGGTCCGGTTACAGAAGCGAAGACAGTCACACAACGCGTCAAATATTCAATCGAAAAATGTCCGGCGTGCTAGGGGCTGACATTCATGAAGATGAAAGACATTATGAAGTATCGTCGCGGCAGGATATGGCCATGAAAATGATATAATATGCTGACAAGGGATTGGTGCCACAACGTTCATCACTGCGCCACGTACGTGTCAGCAAAGATGTTCCGAAAGCTCAATGGCGTCCTGCATCCTATCTCGTAAAGCGTCCATGGCCCCAGGAGGATACGAAGAATATCCCATCGCGCCACATACACTTTTCAGCCAGCCTTCCAGGACGTGGCGCGTCCATTGCACACGGCGGTGGCGTTGTCCGAGACGGAGAATGCTCGCAATGTCGTGCGGGTCGCTCTTCGCGTACCGGACAAGCTTCAAAGCCACCGCCCATCCCCAGCTTACGCCCACTAGAATCAGACCAGGGGATCTGAAGAAGGTATTGATTTGCATGTTTGAGGCGCTTGTGGCGTCGGTCCATACGGGATCGTACCACTCGCCCTTTGAGCTTCGATGAACATACGAAGATGGCATCAGCTACGGGTCAACTGTAAGGAAAAGTAGATTGATATGGGCCGCTCACTTTTTCGCCCAAGGAAGGGCGGCATCGGCGGCAGCGTTCATCCAGTCCGCGCCCAGACCGAACTTCGAGGCCGTGGCAGCGATGCACAGCTGCAATCGAGCATCTGCATCGAACACTCCCATACGTTTCCACTCCGTGACGAACGAGCGATGAATATAGTCGACATCGCGTGTGCTTTTCCTGCAAGCAAGTTGCGGATGGAGGACCATGACAACGCCACCGTGGACCACGAGCCGGACAGGACGGCCGAAGTATTGCAATAGACTAGTAGAAAGATCACGCAGTACTGTCATCAGTAGCTGTGGTTCGAGCATTACCGTGTTTACAGAAGGCGTAATGGGCAAGGGATTCCGAGCTTGTGACATGTCGCCGAACGACGCCACTGAACAACAGAGGAGAACTACAAGAGCTTGGGGCCTATTTATTGAGAGATGAAGACCGAGCGCTTCGTACATGTGCATACTGATGAGAAGACAAGGAGCAGCTTGAGTGCACCAGCAGTCATAGGCGAGCGGCAGTTGTGTTGTGCTTGTCGTTCGTTGTGCGAGCAGATCAGTACAACCTGGCAGAACTAATGATTGGGATCCGATAAGCGCTGAAAGAAGCCATGATATTGAACCGACATCGTTCAATTTCTCTCGCCCAGATCCGACTACACAGCCTCTGGCTAGTGAGCACACCAAACTTGCACAGAAGCATTAGTGTCAGCCACGTCAATCGTTGCGCGGACTTGAGCTGAGATTGCCTGATGGATGGCCGAGAGACGTCATAAGCACGAAGCCAACCTGTTATGGCTATGCGAGGCAATGCACTACGACAGGTACAAGCTATCAGTCGACGGGAGGATGTCATCGTGATCCTTCTTTGAAAGCGCCGAAGAGCAATCGCGCATGCGGAAGGCTCACCAGCTGCGCCACAGTTGGTAAATGAGATCTCGCAACCGAATGTCCGTGTCACCGGCGTATGAGGCCCTGACAAATGCAGTCATCCATACTGCACGGAAGAGGCGAGCGACCGGCCGTATCAACTCATCGATACAACATCGTTTGATGGAATGGAACGCATCGCACGTACTACAGACGGTTCCCAGGAAAGCATACGCCAACATCTCTGCAACTGTACCCGCTGAATTGTTTGGGGCGCATTTGAGCGGGACGCTCTAGAATAGCAGTCATAAGAGATGATCCGATCATATCACAAACTTGACTCACTTGGATGGCGCGCTTTGTACAAGAGTACACGCTCTATTATTGCACATCATCGCAGCTCACTTGAAACGCCGATACGCAGCGTAAGTAGAAGCCAATGCCATGCTGATGGTACTAGATGGTGGTTCTTGGTCGTTCGGCCTGCGAGCAGTCTGTAAATGGCATACACAGCGTCATAAAGCAACCGTATCTCGCCACATACACGAAGTGTGCATCCTATCTTTATGGGAATCAAGTGCGGAGCTCGCGCCTAGAATTGAGAAAATAGGTCTCGACGGATCTTGTGCCACCACCAGCTGCTGCCATGTAGTGCGGACCTAATGTATGGGCAAATCTCGCTGTACACCGAGATTCCGAAATGTCGCCGAGACGCCAGCAGATGCGGCATCTATTCGACGACTAATTGTGAAGTTACAAATTTGATATACTCGCAGTCAGGGGGGTTTTCGAGTATGAAAAGGAAAGTGGAAACCACAGAGTTTTGTCCGCCCGAGGCTCTTCCTATGCAGAAAGCCAAACGAGACGAGAATACAGTATGCCCGCTAGCCCCGACCATAGAGGTTTCGAGGTACCCAGTCCCGAGGGTGAGACAGGAGATACAATCAACGAAGAAATAGCTTGAGTCGGCAACGATAGCGGTGAAACCGTATTGAGTGATTGTCACTCTAGCAAGAGCATGTTGGACATCACGCCGTCTGAGAGTTGCTGAGCTGAGATATAGAGCATGAGTAATCGAACATAAGGGGACTCCAGTCGCCGGTAGCACAGCCTGCATAGATTTATTTTTCCACGGGAAACCTGATGCAAAAATGGTGAAAATACCTTATGTCTGGATATGGAAATAGTTTGAAAATTGGGCGGAGACAATTAAATTATGTTACAATTGTTTTACCGAAACGTATCAGCAATAGTGAAACTATTTCCCAAAGGAAGATATTTCAGTCCAAAAATATGTGATACTGATATGTTTCGGTGAAGCAATTGTAACATAATTCAATTGTTTCCACCCAATTTTCAAACTATTTCCATATCCAGGCTTAAAATATTTTCACCATTTTTCATCAGGTTTCCTGTGGAAAAATAAATCTGTGCAGGCTGTGTAGGAAGCAAGCGGATCTGGACACAAGCGCACCCTTCGTGAGCTGTGGGAGATGCCTAATAAGACGAACTGTTCAACAAACCACTATCGACGATTTTTAAGAAGTCAGCCACACAGATATGAGGAGAACTCTCCAACTTAAAAATATGTAACTTTTTCAATTCGGACAAGGAGCTTCTAAACACCAATCGAACCTTGCACAGATACTTCAAGGGAGTAAAGAATTGAGGCGAAAGAACATGTCAAAGTTCCAAAGGCCAGAGACGAGAGCTCAATCTACAATCACCGCAGACACGAAGCGATTTGCGCACATGGCAAATGCTTAGCAAATGTGTACAGGTTTTTTGCCTTTGTGATCTCGATTTGCTACGGTTCCTTCCCACATTCCATATTAAGTATTTGCATATAACATTTTAGAGGAAGAAATTTAATTTATATATTTTAAAAAATGACACCATTTTCAAACTCACCAAGGGCATTTGAAATTTGAATGCCGTTGAATGTTATACATACGTTTTTGATGTCCAAAACATCACACATATAAAAATGCCCAATAGCAAATAAATTTAAATTTTGAGTGCTGTTGAATGTAATCATACATTTTTGAATATAAAACCATCTCATATATAAAATACCCAGTAGCAGATGAAGGTGACCTTCATAGTAATCTTGGTACGGAGCGAGACAGCTATATAAAATTAAAAGCCAGAGGCCTGCTTCAGCCACTCATTAGACGCGTCCACTGCCTATTTGAGACGCGCAGCCACTGCTGCACTGGCCTGGACGCTCCAGCAAACTGGCAAATACCATCAGACCGGCCAAGTGAGGGAGCGCCCAGGCCACTGCTGCAGCAGTGGCTGCGCGTCTCAAATGGGTAGTGGGCACCCACACCACTGGAGCAGTGGCTGCATCTCAAATCGGCAGTGGGCACCCATGCCACCGCAGCAGTGGCTGCATCTCAAATAGGCAGTGGGCACTCCGTCAAAGATCCCATCAGATCAGCCCTAAACTGGAGGCCTTGAATTACCCGCGGATCTGCTATGGACGCCTCTTCTCTCTCACTTCCGCTCCACCTCCTAGGCTTTCTTTGTGCATGCACCTTAGTGTAATAATGTAGCAGCTAATGGACTCAACATAGTGTAGACCTGTGTAGACTTAGCGTGGACGTTAGCCATGGATGTTAGCGTAGACTTGTGGTAGAACGACCATTCATGAACTTCTGACAACTGCATCACGACCGTGTTATGACCCGTCTCGAATCAGAGAGAAAGGATGGATACAAAAATGAGGAATCGTCGATGCACGGAGCGCTACTCACGTCGGTCGCTGAACGGGTCACATCACCCAGCATAGGCGAAGTCTCTGCAGTGAAGGAGGAGGGAGCGAGACTCACATCGGTCGCGTAACGGGTCGTCGCATCACTCAGCATAGGCGAGGTCTCTGCGGTGAACCTACGATGGATGTGAACGTGAACGCGAATGCTTCAGTCAAGAACGTCGTCGGCACAGGGAACGGTTATTGAATGGGTCGAGCATACGTGAAGTCTCTGCGAACATTGTATGCGAAGGCTTCAGTCGAAAGCGGAAACGGGACGCTAACAACGTCGCCTAAGGTTCGCACCTTTCACCATCTTCATAGATGTTCACAATCATTTAGCACCGTTGGCTGCCAGAGTTCCATTCACCCTTCAGAGACGTGAAATGGATAGCGCCTGGAAGGAATCGTAGGGTGCGTAACAGATTTCTAGGGGTTGAGACATGCATGTTGACTGATCTTTCCTCCACACCTGCTTTCTAGCAGTTGTCGATGTTCGATCTCGTGCCTTCGCCTGCAACATATGACGAGGAATATGTGACCGTACAGCTTCGCAGTGCCAACAACAGCGATCTGGGAGAGCAAGACTGCGGACTATCATAGTCATCGTGAATGCCTCTGAAGTCACCGCGGAAGCATTAACGAGGGAATTGAGCAATCGAATCTCGGTGCATGAGTTCATCGTCAAACACCTTGCCCTGTGAAAAACGGCACTGGTTTGCTCACAGTAAACGTGCTATGATTTCAAAGTATTCGTCTTCTGGTGCAGCAAATACGAGGCATGGAATTATGGTGCGGTGCACGTCATCTGACGTGCTTCTTATTTCTCAGGTAATTTTTTGCAGGTCATTCTACTAGGTATCTTTACAGATATCTAGCTTGGAAAGACGAGACATCATTTCTTAACCAGAATTGTGTGAAAGACGGTCAACACCTCCCAGGCCTGCAGTTGCACTGGTCACGGAACAAGTCTTATTGGTGCAAGACCTCATTACTTGGCAAGACTTGGAGACAATCGTACGTAAGTAGCATCTCTGCAAGGTAAATTCCTACGCTAACTATCAAGATATCACCTGACGATAATTTTGTACCTGTGCCCCATAACGGAGGTATCGAAACTCATGGTAACCCGGAGGCGGTTGCGCATCTTCAGGGATGATAGGGGGAGGGAAGGAACCATGATGATTTGAGTGTCGGTGCTCGTGGTAATAAAGAGTTGAGCTGCCTGCAGAGGGTAGGAGGCTTCTGACCCTGTAGTTGCGATCCCATTGCATGGAATATCCAAGCGTCAATTGTCCGTTCACGAATGCGCCTACTGGTTGGGCTATCGTCGCGATCTGACCTAGCACATCCGACTAGCTATAATCAAACACTACTAAATACGCATTATCTGCGACGAGCGCCTGCCATTGGCCTGGTGACACTATGTTGGGCAGCGGTGGAAACTGCGCCCACGGTGGAGGTACCCACGCTGGACCACCGTCTATGCGGGTGAAGGGAAGGGGTGGTGGAAGTGGGAGGGGGAATGCCGCAGCCGGCATAGGTACGTGCATTCCTTGTCCGCCAGCGTTCCCACCTCCATGTTGCATGCCCTCGATGTACACCATCCCCACTACTTGATGAATGGTGACATGCATCATACACAGTTTCACCGCTGACAGTATGAAGTAATGAATCAGATGTATATCGGTGGATTGCTGGCTTGGAAAGCACGACGAGGTCACCCTGAGTAATCTGCTGTACATCTGACAGTCCCTCAGATCATGTTATATGCCGAATGATGAGCACAAACCTTGCGATATGCAGGAGTGGATATGTTGGACTGGGGGTCGCCCCAGTCAACGGACCTGTCTGAAATAACCTCCCAACCTCTGCTTCCTATGTTGAATGAAGCAAATATATACAAACATTCAACATTCAACACGTCCATCATGTGATCATGAAGGGACCAAACATATGCAAATGTTTTTAATGTATTTATAGGGGTGGGATCGCTACTGGGAGGCATTCCTCTCACTTCCTTTCCAGACTTGCAATGGACTCTTCACAGCAGGCAAATGTTGGACCAATGAGAAGCACTTCTGGAAAGGTGAGTGTAGGCTGTTGTACAAGCTGCAGTCAGCTGAACGGCGGATTATCTGCATAGGCGTGACATCGTCACACATCCAAGGCCGGTCCTGCTCAGCAACAGCGATCACCTATCACACGCGATGAGTTTGTTGAACTCTTTGGAGGGATGTACCGTTCGAATGCTGTGGCCATAGTGCATGTCTGCCTTCCTCATCTCGACCACACCAAGATGGACGACGTCGAACTGCTGTTCTGGGGCCGTTACTATGGTGCCTACCAAGGCTCCTTCAACAATTGGCTCGCATTGATGAAGAGCAAGTTCAAGACTGGTAACAACACTGAGAAGCAAGCGAAGGAGAGGCTGCGGAAGCATGCGAAGGTGGTCCTCGACCAATCGATTCCCATCTTTGGAGTAAGCGACTCCACTTGTTTCTCACATCATTCATCCCACTGATGCTCAACAAATCAGTGACCACCCACACCAGCAGACGAGGACATCCATTACGTGCCAATCCTGAACACGAAGTTCACCATCCATGTCTGGGGCACAGGCATGGAAGCCTCTCACATGTACAACCTCGACTTCGTCAACAAAGCTACGTTGAAGCACATCCAACCTCCCCTCTCATGCCAGCTCTACACCATCCACTCACCAAACAAATGGTGGCTGCCTAATTTTTGCTGTGGGAAGGTTGAAATGGCACCAGGGTCAGAGATGTATCAGGTGTTCAAAGGGGACTCATTCATGCTGAGTGTGGGTATAGACATGAGGGTGGTGTTCGATATACCGGTTCGACGTTCACTGGTGAAGCCAGATTGGCTCCTGGGCACCACCACTGTCACTTTTACACATTCTATGACATAGTCGATTGTACCAGTTACGCACGCAGACATTTCGCTAAGTCTCCTACTCCTACGGCACCCTGTAATGCCGTCTTGTAACTGATAAATGAGTCTGTTATTTAATTGACATGTGAAAAATGGTGCACAGTAATTGCAGGCCAACTAGTTATCGATCACATGCATGGATGCGGCACGTCATTCAACAGTGAAGTAGGGAACGAGTGGGTTTGGTTTGTTCTGAAGTTAAATGCACATCAAGTGTCGCGCTCCTTGCAGCAAGGAAGATAGGGCCCCTGGCATGCAGTAGAGGATGTGGAGGGAGAGAATATGTATATGTACTAGTATTACAGAGACGGTACAATAATAATGCTTGCTAAACAATGCTACATGCTTTTGCATTTACATCTGTCCTATTCTACTACACTACAAGGCGCACATGCTCACCGATGAGTCCATCTCTTCGATCTCGACATCGCCATCAAAATCCTCGTAGTCGACATCCATAGTGTCTCTAGCGCTCGTGGTTCAGTTGTGCCAGCCATCGAACTTGACTCGTCTCGCCGCCACAGATGCGACCAGAGAGGATCATGATGGAAGGTGAATTCAGCAGTTCTTGTTGGATCGCACAGTTGAGTAGCCGCGCAACGTCTGTTAGCCGATCGACATGAGAGGTAAACATCACTCCTTCGCAATACTTTATCCATATGCGCATAATTGTTATTTTTTCGTCGGAGGGTCTGCGCAGGACTCTCAGTGAGAGAAACGCTTCGGTTCAGAAAATGCACATACCCGCCGACCGGCCGTTCTGGCAATGGCTTCACCATTTTTGCATTATGACTCTTACAGAAATGACGGTGTCTGCTGTGATGACCTCCCAGTCGACATCGACACATGTGGACTCGGGGACTCATCTGCCTTCGCATACCATGACAACAATCATCCTGCAATCAATCTGGACATCTGGCACTGTTCAAAGATGTTGCACCAACCACGATTCGCAAATCATAGTGCATAATCGAACCAGAGACATTGATATTGATCATAGGAAAATATATACGAGGCACGTCATGACATAGTTGCTCCCAACCTGGTACCATTTTCAGTACTCCTGAAGAAGCAACTGTTGTTTTAGTTGTCGAAGCGAAGAGTGAAGCTTCACGAACTCACCTGCAGCAAGGGTTTCATCATGTAAGTTTCATCATCCCATGTTTGACGGATCACATGACATATCCTGCATGTCAACGAGATTGTTTCAATCCTCTTATCGAGGGTTTTCGACCATATACTGGCTCCAAAGTCGGGATAATCCATAAAGGGATCAAAGGTCATAAGTGGTTTTATCATGTACCTGTGTACTGCCAATATAACGTGCATATGCGGCTTCTCTTCAGTATAATCAGCTGCCCAGATGGAGAATATGGACCGTACAACTCCTCGCACCATGTCCACACCTACATCTGGCTCGTAGAATATGAGACTATTCGACTCTCTGCAATGATACGTTGAATATTGAATTCCGTGGATTTTGTAACAGCTGTGCTTGATAACTCTGAACCCCATTTGCCAGTTTTGCAGCTCTGAACATAGTTTGCATGTTACATTGGACAACACAGTATAGATGTCCAACTTGAGCTCGTCCCATTTACTCCGGTCTGTCACAACGGATCGAAGTGCTTCATTCTCACCAAACGTGAGAAATTCATTGAGGCTTGTTTTGTAAGTTCCACGCCCATCATCCTGGTAGTTTAGCTCGACAATTGATGTGCAACCCTTAAGCACTTGCGGGCAATCCGCTCGCTTCAAACAAGCCTTGAGGTTAGCTGCAGCGCAGAATGATTTGAGCATTGTTTTCTCTAGCTGCCCTGTTCTGTTTTGTGAGCATGCTGGCATCTAATTACATTCTTATAGACGAACCTAGTTTTCTGTTGGTGTTGGTCTATTGCAGGACCCCTATGATTCTCTCGAAAGGAAACATCCACCAGCCATGTACCGGTCCGAACCACAGCAAGAAATCACCCAAATGGAGTGACATATGGTGATTTGGCCGTAAGGACTTCTCAGGGCGTAAAACCTGAACAGTAGACAGATAAGCGAACATATACATCATATACTTATCCTTATGCTCCTGAGATGTGCAATAAGACGTTGCTTGTCGAACGGCACATGCAAGCAACATGGTAGATTGAGCCATTGCTCAACGCGCACTGCTGTCGGCATTGTCATCCACAGTGTTGCAATATCATTGCTTCATCAATGAAACTGGTATTTCAAATTCTAGCACCGCTTTCCATTGGTCTGCTTTCAACTTTCTGTGCGCTTTCATTCCAATGTTTGGAGGCGGCCCTCCTGAATACGTTGGACGTGTTGTAAGTGCTATATCTGTTTGAAGATTCCTGAGATCTTGTTGAGTAAAGTCGATGGATTTCTCGTTTACCGAATCTGCCAAATGCATGGTCCGAGGAGCAATAGTTGATACCTCTAGTAAGCCATGTCCTACTATCAAAGCAGCAGGGAGATTCATTGCTGTGTGTGCAGCAGTCGTTGATGCTTTCACGGGTGGGTTGGGTTGTAGATATCTCTCAGAGGCGGAATGGTCATTGCGATGGTTTAATGGTATGCAGGCACAGTGTACGCACGAGCAATGTGTCTGCCAAAACTCTCTTTCTTGGTTGCTTGGTGGACTTCCGGAACTCTTGATCAATACCCCTCCTTCAACAAACCAGTTGTAAAGCTGCCTTTGACTTGCGTTGTAGCTTTTTGACAGTTGGGTTGCTGCACAAGAGCTTCTCAATCTTGGCCACCTCTCGAACAACTGTTTGATCGTCCATCTCATCTGTGCCAAAAGCGTTACACTCAATCAAATCATCGGCATCGTGGATGTAGCAGTCATTCACAGGGATTCCGATGCCGACAATGGTGTGGAAATGATACTGCACAACTCCAAGAAAGAGATTGTGCATGGAGTCGACGACCGTGCCACGTATTGGATCCCAATATGGAAGCCTCATTAGTTCAGACCACCGCACGCCATTTGCACGGAACAAAGTCTTTTGTTTGGTCTTGGTCAGTGCATCACGCCACTCCTCTGCGAGTTTGAGGACGTCCTTTCGAGTTTTCATGGTCCAACTGCTCATGTCGATGTTATTGATATCTTGCTTGAGCAAGCAGCACATCGCACAGAAGTGAGTTGCTGAATGACTGGCAAATCCCAACACTTTTCTTCCACCAGGGAGGTCGGTGATGACTAACGCAAGCGCAGAACGTGAGCATCTCCCACGGGGAAATTTGTGTGTCCTTGTAAACCAGGTCCCATCTTCCCAAGACATGATTAGTTTATCCACAAGAGGATGGAGGAAGTGGTTGATCTCTTCTTTGGATGGCTCACGTGGCCCAGGAATGATGCCCATCAGATAAATGTTCTCCGCGGCATTCCGTAGACTCGGGGGCAAGAGCAGGCAGCACATGACGATAGACCCCACTGAGGCCGATCTGCCTGCAATTTTGTTCAGATAGGGGTTGAACCAATCTACAGATAGATCCCAGAGCAGCCTGAGCTCATTTCCGGATGTCCCCATGAACAGTTTTCCATCCTTATCCTTCAGTTCGTGTACCATTGTGGCATCCCGAATATCATACAGGTGATGAGCTCGTACGACTTTCTCTCCAAGCACCAGTGCATCTTCAATTCCTGGTCGGCAAAGCATGCTCCCGACAAATGTATCGAAATCTTGCATCATGAATGGTCGGCGCAGTACTCGCATGCTCTCATCAGCATGGACACTGTGATGTGTGAGTTTTGAATTACATGGGGCACTTTTGGACCATCTTTAAAATTGGCAGCGTGCTGGATAGACGGGAACACTGGAGCAATAAGAGGGCTCATATGTCACTGAACACGTCAGACATACAGCGTAAGTGGTCGTTACAGGATCCAAGTGGAATGCCTTCCGCACGCTTCGTATGTCCGAAGGGAAATGTTTCAGGACCTTCTTTTCCTGCAGTGTTGGACCACCGTTCTGTTGCAGTGCAAACTCCACTACTACCTTGAACATGTGCAAGGTGAAATTGCAAGACCTCCATGTGACTCACCCAAGAAGATGGAGAATGAGCGCTGTGAAGACCGTGTGAAGTAGGATGGGATGTATACAGTTTAAGGGATTGGTGAAATGTTTTGCTATTGATAACAGTAAGTTACGTGAGCATGTGCTATGCAGACTCCATTACTCACCGATATCCACAACACGAACGCTAGAAGTCATCATAATGTCAGATACAAGTCCCTCGACTTGCAATCGTCTCATTTTCAGCTGCTCGTGCTGCTCCGTTAACCGTTGCATCATTGCATTTTGCAATAGGTGAGCTGCAGAATCCATCGACCATGGACCCATGCCAGTGACGAGGTCAATTATCTCCAAAAACCATCGCTCTTCCTCCCGCAATTGCACTGATGCCTCGAAAGCTTGTTTGCTATTCACTGCGGAATTCATCCCCTTGTCAAACCACTCGGAGACTGCTTGGATATGCAACTGAAGCTCGATGTCCAGTAAGAAGTGTTGTGTACTCCTGAGAGCCTTGATTACTTGCAACGGTTGGATCGGAGTCACGAACGAGGAAAGCAGAGGATGTGACAGCTGGATCAGAGCCGCCAACGAGGGAAGCAGAGGATGTAATGGCTGGATCAGAGCCACCAACGAGGGAAGCAGAAGATGTAATGGGAGAGTCACCAATGATGGAAGCAGAGAGCGGAGGGGAATTAGCCACATTAATGCTTTTGCTCTCTTCGATGCCTTTGCCCCTACCCTCCTCCCTACCCTCTTCTATCTTCCATCTGCTCCAGATTCCATTTGATTGAGCATCCTCCAGGAAATGCAAAGGGCCCACTTTCAGTGTCTCAGCAAAGACACGTTCCATTAAATTTTCAACGGTCGCTGACGGCCAGTCATCTCGATGTCGAATACTAGAATTAGTTGTGTTGCTCTGCGAGATCCATCTGTATCAGTCAGGATGACTGTGACTTCTCTTGTTCTCTTACCTGTTCAACCTCTTCAACTTCCCGATCCCGTTGCTTATGCTCTCTATAAGAACTGTAGTCAATATGTTCTCCACCACATCCATAGGTCCTGCAATTACATGAAAAGCCTCGTTGCCCCTGTACTTGCGATGGAACGAGGTTAACGGGGACATCGTACCTCTGCATGGACGACTCCAGTGAGGTAGACAAAGTAGGTGGACATAGGTGAATGAGTTCCACATGTCCAGAGTATGGTAATGGTCTAGATCCTCCAGGCATCAGAAAAGCAGGCTCTCTGTGCACAAGTTCAGCCAGGGCGATTGGGTAGATGGTGCTTATTGTCTGATATCACCCGAAGTGAGCATTCCATATCATCTGTTCTTTTTTAACCTTCTCTTTTTAACACCCGAAGTGAGCATTCCATTATCGTCTGTTCTTTCTTTCCATTTTATTCAACACTAGAACACACCCAAAAAATGTATATCCATCGCAAAACACAAAAGTTGAATACGATATGAAAGCACAGCTAAGCTGAGCTCCCTCTACGGACATGTCAATCTACTTCGCAAAGACCGCAAGTTTGTATGTACAGCTGTAGTCGAAGACATTCCTGCACGAACTTGCGAGGATGTTTGCGAGGTTTGTCGAGTGGGTGGTGTTGATGTCGAGATCGCCGCAGAAGTCGTCAGAGTCATCATTGAGCCTGTCGGAGTTGTTACCGAAAATTCAAGACACGATCGCACCACCGGAATGCAGGAAGGCTTGATGTATTGAAAGAGGTGCGCTATAAGGTTTTGCCTTATCGAAGGAAGCGGGATTCGCACTGGCCGCGGAATATGAGATACCTTCAGATTGGGTGCAGGGCCTGGCATAGAGCTACAGACATTTTCAGAACGCGGCGTGTCATCTTCAGAACGCGGCATGGAGCACGCAATGTCTTCGGAAATGCTTCATGGGTTCTTCAACTTGTTGATTGCATCGTCCAGAATTGCCATGAAGCGATCGTAATCACGACGTGCTTGATTCAGCCTGGCCTGCACTTTGAGCTGTGGAATTGGAATCTTTTTCAATCTCGCCTGCGCAACATTGTCAAGGCGCGGGGCAAAAAATCCAGCCATCCTTTCCGAAACCTCGTTCCACACATCTTGCATGTAAGATAAGGTCTCCCCACCTCGATATCGAAGGAGAGTCATCTTGTTGTGTCCACAGTTGACCGGATCCATAGAGAAATCCCATTCTTTGAAAGGAGCAATCTGCGAGATGGGGACAGGCTGAGGATCCTGTGTTGGCCCCCTGTAGTGTGGTGCAGTAATATGCGAAGACATAATAGAATGACTCGAGGTCATCCAGGTGATCATGGGGGCCAAGCAAAGAGATGTTATCCATGTCAGTCCACAGCACCTTCACTGATTGAAAAATGCATGTGCCCTGCATCGATGAGGGTGTGAGTAGATGCATTTGGGTACACAGACGAATATCCTCACTATTCGCAGGTCACCTGCCATTGCTCTGCCAACCGTCCACAACTTGTGAACGTCGGCTGCTAGATCCATGTCGATGAGTTTTCCAGTATTGTATGCCATGTCAGTATCGAAGTACATTAGATTATTGATGCTAACATCGCGATGGAGGATACCTTGCTGCAATAGCAAGTTCTTGTGTCCTGAAGGATGGCTCTTCAGCAAGAAGATCACGAGCATCTATTACATGACTTACCGTTGACGCAGTCACAAAATGCGATGAGAAATGCCAAGGGAGTAGGCGCGCACGACAGTGGCCCATTGTATTGCTTGAGGAGGATTTGGCACCAGATACGATCAGAGGAATACGTTGAGATGGGGCCATCGCCTTTGTCGTTTATGATCGTGATTGGAAATAAATGATGTTCAACGAGCAATTCCGATCCACGTGTGTCAGAAATCCTTTCTCCTTCCCTGTATGCCGCAATCTGCCTGACTCCATTGACATCTAAGGCATGCAATAACATCTCTGCCTCCAAAGATCTACCCGCTGCATGCCAGTAATCTTTGAGAACACATGTGAAGTTGTCATCTTTGATGACCCTGAACCAACAAGTCATCCCACATGATCAAACAGCGCAGTTACGAGTCCAATGTGTCACCGTCATTTCAAAGGTGCTTTCTCTGAGGCGCGTATTCCAGAAGTCAATGTCCACGTCGTTCCTGGGGGGGACTAGGAAATTCTGCAGTTGGATGGTGGCCCCGAGGTCATGGCCTGGCACTGGCCTCAGTACAATATCTGGATCCCAGCTGAGTGATTTGTCAGACCAAAAGAGCATCAGTATTGCGAGGATGAGGATATGATAATTTCCGCGGTCGCTGAAATTGATCAAGTCTGTATACCAACCGCCACTTTTGTCAAAACCATAGATCCGTATTCGGTTTTCTGTCATAATGAAAGATATCACGAAGTGGTGGTCGTGTTGTTCTATGAGCATTTGATGTGCATAAATGCCCATTTGTAGCCCATGGCACTCCGTTCTGATTGCACAATCTAGCTTGATATTGACAGCGGTGCGTGAATGGCAGTAACGGGGGATTGATACATCGCAACACGTTGGACACCGGTCATCGAGCACCATGATATCCAGGGAGGTGTGTAAAGGTGACGACTCATGACCCAGATGCACGTCATGCACATTCTGCGCACATTCCCTGAGCTTCCCTGGTAAGGCTTTGCTGAAGTGGCACCTGACAGTTTCGATTACTCCAATGAAGGGCGCATATAACTCGGACTCCCGTGCGAACTGTCTGTCCAACACCATCCATCCATTCTTGCAGGATCTGTTCATGAATGTGTTCACCCGCTGATGAAGAGCTGTCTGCTCTAATTGAGTAAGCCCCTTCTCAAGCCAGCACCACAATATCGTTTCGACTTCGACCTTATTTTCCACACTCATCCATCCACCCAGCTCATGCTCCAGCTCTAATGTGAGCTTGTCAACCATTATAGGTCATTGGATATCGGTGAAGGCAGACGATGGTCCACGTGGGGTGCTTTTGACTTCAACGGGTGCCGTAGTGGGAATTAACCTTCTCGCCCTTCTGCCAATGTGGCCCGACGTCATTTCCGAAGCCTTCGAATTAAGTGGATGTACTGGCAAAGCTCCTCTGTATGTGAGAGCTTCAGGTCTAGAGCTCGGACTGCTGTTGCGAGTGTTGTGAGTGCTCGGTCTGCGCGAGTTTGACATGTTTGAGAAATGCTGTCATATATTGATTGCATTAGGAAACATACTGAGGCATGATATGATATGGAAATCAGTGAGGATGTTGATGAAAATGCATTGGATGAACAGTCAAGATGTCAGGCCAGGACCTCGTGAGGTATTTAATTGTCACGTGGCCGTCCAGCCTGCGCTAGCCTGATGTTCGAAACGCGACGCATACGTACGCATTCCTCACGTGCCGTATAGTTAGATATTTTGCATTCCGGGTTCACACGTGGCTGAAATTTTCTGAAAATCCCTGAGTATCATCGCTACAGCCGCGTGCTGTAACGACGACAGATCTAAATAGCGGCCCGTACTGCATACGTAGGGCTTGGGCGTAATGCGAATACTCTCAGAATTGGAGATAACTATCGGCATCTGTTGTCCATATAGTGCATTAATTCAGCTTCAAATCTGAATATATTTGTTTCTATGATTTTTGTCCTTCGACGCTTAGCAGGTCCTGACGACTGTGGGTGACAGTGGATGGCAGTAAATTGGCGGTACTGGATGACGACGAAATTTATGGCACTGTGAATGGTATAGCCCGAACTTGCATTTCTAGCTCCTGGATGACTAGAAGGGCACGGTGAGTGTCGGTGAGAGGACAGAAAAGGGGCTGCGTGCGCAATGGACTGGCCCATCCATTCTTCAGCAAATGATAGGAGATGACATGATTTGCGACAGCTCTGTCTGACCAACTTTCCTTTCATCCATTCAGTGCAACTCGCGCACTGAGATTCGATTGCTCAATTCCCTCGTCAATGCTTCCGCAGTGACTTCGAAGGCATTCACGGTGATGGTCTGCAGTCTTGCTCCTCCGGATTGCTGTTGTTGGTGCTGCAAAGCTGTACGGTCACATATTCCTCGTCATATGTTGCAGGCAAAGGCGTGAGATCGAACATCGACAACTGCTAGAAAGCAGGTGTGGAGGAAAGATCAGTCAACATGCATGTCTCAACTCCTAGAAATCTGTTATGCACCCTACGATTCCTTTCAGGCGCTATCCATTTCATGTCTCTGAAGGGTGAATGGAACTCTGGCAGCCAACGGTGCTAAATGATCGTGAACATCTATGAAGATGGTGAAAGGTGCGAACCTTAGGCGACATTGTTAGCATCCCGTTTCTGCTTTTGACTGAAGCCTTCACATCCGATGTTCGCAGAGACTTCGCGTATGCTCGACCCATTCAACGACCATTCCCTGTGCCGATGACGTTCTTAACTGAAGCGTTCACATTCACGTTCGCATCCATTATAGGTTCATCACAAATGTGATGCTGCAGTACTGCAGCACTCAAACTGTAATATCAAGTCAGCGCACATGATTGTTAGTGTACTGAAGGAAGGGGCCAATGTAGATGGACGCACTTTTTTCAATCTCTCCCCACTCCTTGAAATGCCTCCTCACAACCTCCTCCGTCTCCACGCCCATGCCCGTCTCCTTGATCTGCCCAATATATAGCATGCGGTTCTGCCTCTGAAAGCTACCCACACTACCCATATCATCTCGATAGCCTGCGAACTTGTCGTGCGCAAAGCAGTCCTTCGACGTGTCCGGCAGCGTGGTCAATGGGTCCATGAGCATATGCAGATACTCGCATTCCCAGCCATACAGACAGCATCCCCACACAAAGAAGGGGCAACAGTACTTCACACCCGTCATGTTCGCGCATGATGTTGCAACGCATCTGCGACTTGACCTTGCTGAACAAAAGCAGGCATTAGGGAAAGCCGTCACCGAACGACTTTGCAACAAAACATACTTTGAATAACTATCCTCACGGTCCCCACCAGCCCATTTATTGTACCAAATGTCTGCAGAGCTTATGAGCCATAGTGAAGGAGCAGAGGTTGAATGTACGCACTGTACTCTTTCCCAGTTTGAGGCGCCTCCTTCTTCTCCACTTCACCAGCTTTCACCAGCTTTCACCTGCTTGCACGCAGGCTTCAGTTTCGCACATCAGGGTGCATTGTGAGGACATAGAAGGTGCGTGCAATGGCGACGGTGGTCGTCTTGAATGCCCCAAAGATGCTGCCCAAGCGCCGGTCAGTCTGGCATTGCTGGCATGGTGCGGCAGTGCTCACTTCATCTGTCAGAGGAGCTTGGCCTCGGTGAGTTGGTCGGCATCCGAGGAGGACGAACTTGCCTTCACTAGTTGGGGAGTTCAGCATGGATGGCGAGTGGTGGAGAAGGGATGCACGCAAGATGCTTATGAGTGGACCAAGGTCAGTGCCCGCAAGTGCACCCTTCGTGGCGCGCCCATCCATTGCAGCCTTCTTCTCTGCATAAATAGTCTTGCTAATGCTGTCGAGTGTGCCCACAATTTCGCGCATCTCACGTAGGGCCGGTATGGGCATCCAGTCGACGAGGGCATTGTGCCAGCCGAGGGGCAGGCTGCATACAATGCGTGGGATAAATGGGCGGAGCATGATGATGCGCATCGCTGTTGGGCTTCCACCGTGTATCGATCCATTATGCAACTGATATGAGTCTCGCTCCCTCCCTCCTCCTTCGCCACAGAGACTTCACCTGTGCTGGGTGATGCAACCCGTTAAGCGACCGATGTGAGTAGCGCTCCCTGCACCGACGATTCCTCATTTTTGTATCCATCCTTTCTCTCTAATTCGAGACGGGTCATAACACGGTCATGATGCAGTTGTCAACAGTCATGAATGGTCATTCTAAATAAGTCTACGCTAACGTCCACGGCTAACGTCCATGCTAAGTCTACACAAGTCTACACTACATTGAGTCCATTAGCTGCTACATTATTACACTAAGGTGCGTGCACAAAGAAAGCCTAGGAGGTGGAGCAGAAGTGAGAGAGAAGAGGCGCCCATAGCGGATCCATGGGTAATTCAAGGCCTCCAGTTAAGGGCTGGTCTGATGGGATCTTTGACGGAGTGCCCACTGCCTATTTGAGATGCAACCACTGCTGTGGTGGCATGGGTGCCCACTGCCGATTTGAGACACAGCCACTGCTGCACGCGCGTCTAAACTGCACCCAATTTAAAGAAAAATAAAGCTCGAAGAAATCATAGACCAACCACAGAGTCGAATCTGCACTGATAGCCATGATAGGTTCCATTGTTTAGGAACAAGAACATATTGGAATGGCACCTGGAGCAGGGTCTGCACTCCGCCTTCTTTGACAACACTTGTACGCATCAGTCTCGCGAAGACAGCTCTGAGAATCCAACTTACACGATGAAGAGGACGATAGCTGTCATGCTGCAAGCTGGTGTAGGGACCGTCAATAGAGAAATCAGATTATGTTTTAGATGTACTGGTATCCATGATTACATTGGTACTGTCCATGCCAGCTGTTCGTATCCATGTGCTGTGATGTTTCAGGATGGATGAAATAGCGCGAACAATGCACAGAAAGCTCTCATGAGAACTTGCGACCACCGAGCTCAGCATAGAGCACGTCACTGTCCGCACGCTTGCGTCCGACCTGCCTCCTGTTGTAGTGGTTTGAGATGAGGAATGCGACATCTGATTTATTTGATTAGCGTACACATTCAGACCTTTCGGGGACTGCCACTGGACTTATTCAATGATTGCTCAAAGTTCAGGTGAGAATCGCAGAATGACTGGACTGGACATGATGTCAATGTGCATCACTCCGCACACATCGCACCACAATGCACCTGGTGCTGCAGCCCCAGTTGCTCCTCGGTGAGCTCCATGCTACCCCCAGGCACTCAGTGACGCTGAACCCATCCTCGCTCAGCTCTTCAGTGAACTCGAGGCTCACGCCATTCATGCACGAGTCGCACTCGGCGTGGATTCACATACATGTGGTCAGCTCGCTGTTGATCGTGCCAAAATTGCACATCTTGAGCCCGCTCGAGGAAGTCAGTGTGCTACGTGGTGTGTCACGTCAGTCGGGTGTTCAAAGTTCATGCGAAAAAAACCACGGAACGTACTTGCTGAGCATGGGATCACAGATCCAAGCAATGGGATGTCCACATAGCTGCACACTATTGATGTGGCCGGCTAAGTGACTCTCGATCTTCATATACTCCATCAATGTATGCGCTGTCTATTCACGCATTCTGCTCACCTTCGCCGCACCATAGCGAGTGATCAGCGTAACCTTGCCCGCTTTCCGGTTTGGGCTCTGACTAGCATCGTACAACCATCAACAACCATGTCAGCATTCATGCATGCTTGACAACTCACTGTCGAGTAGCTGGACGAGCTCATCTGCAGCCATGCTAGGCCCCACCTTAATCCAGATCAGTTCCTGATCCCGTGGAAGTACTCAACATGCACGCCGTTCAGCTGTCTCATCCTGTCTCCAATCTAGAGGAAGTGCACAGATGTGTTGTAGTACACGTTCAGCGGGAGCAGCTCACTCGGCATGTCATCGCGGTGCGTCGAGGAGAGAGAGGACGGGATGGGGAATTCGCACGTCATCACTTCTTTGAAGTCCAACAAGAGGCCTTCATGGCTGCGCCTTGGTGTAGGTGAAGGGAGCATCATGATTCAAAGGGGCAACATACCTGGTGAAGAAGTCTCGCCTCTCCCAGCATGCCCCAGCCACCACCCTGCTCATAACTCGTATGCTGGCTGCCGAGTCCAGTAGTTCAAGTGAAGTCAAGAGCATCTGATAAGCCTTCTGTGATGCATTTAAACTCTTCTCTACAAAGTATCGTCAGACCGGATAGCCGAAGAAAATTGAGAAAGACACTAACTGCAGTTCTGGTGATCGTACATGCAACAGAGACAAGTCTCGTGGGTGGTGCAACGAAGCAAACCCTGAGGTGAGCAGGCCGTGCACATAGTTGAGTGTCATTGTTGAGTGGAAGTATGTAACATTTGAGAACATGAATAGCCTGACCGTGCACCCACAGATGCACATACCCTTGAGGCTTCACGACTTGTAAGACTTGACCAACTCCCTCGCGACGAGCTGACCATTCACAAAGCAGTGCATGCTCATATCGGTCGCCGACTTGTTCCCAAACCGGATCTTGAATTTCTGAAACATAGTCATTCATGAGCTGTAAAAAGCTGCCTGTCATTTCGATGCCTGCTCACCCATCCGGCCTCACTGGGGATGTAGCAGCTCATCATGGCATCACTCTCTCATGTGATCCCTACTCAATCAACTTCTCATTTTCATCAACGATCACTAGTTGGCAATCATGCATATGCATATTGGGATGATGGTCGATGAAAGTGGGAAGACGTGCGAGGTGAAGGGGGAAAGTGTGACTGTCACTATCAGCTTGACGGCGTGTCCTAACGAGCAGCGGCTGAAGCAAGTGCTCCACCGCCTCCAACAACCTATGTGAATCTTAAAGATGGCACCTATTCCACGTCCACGATACCACTGCCCGCTCGCGCTTTCTCTAAGGGACGTGAAGCCTTGCATGTGATTCCATTGCTCGATTCCACTGCTCTGACAGCCTGCATTCTAAACTGGAAATTAACCCCTCAACCCAAGCCATCTTCATGGTACATTCTAACAACCCAGACAGCGGAGCCCAACTCGTGTCTCACTCAGAGCTCGCTGCTGCTTTCTTCTTCGAAGTGGCTGACTTGTTCTTTAGATATACATGCAGGAGGTCAGCACTTGCCCAATTCCCTTCGTATCTGGTGAGAAATGGATATTCTTCTGCTGCCTGCGGATAGAGTTCTTAATTTACTATGCATGAATTCACTTGGCAAACCACAAACTGATGTGTAGACAACTTGGAGCTCGCTGATGTCTTGCCTTGAAAATGGTAGCTGCGTCTGCAAATGTGTGTCCGCAAGCTTGTGAATTGTACTCTGTTGGATAGTCAATTTCCAAATCGCATGTCCACAGAGTGATTATGACAACAATGTATGCACCTGTACAATGTTATAGATTGAATCTTTCCAGTGCAGCACTTCACGCAAGTTGTAGCCACCACGACCAATTCACGTCACTTCTCCATTGGGCTTGGGGATCATTTCCATGGAACTGAGGAGTACAGCCATGGCGTTGGGGATTATTTTCGTGGAACTGAGGAGAACAGCCATGGTGGCAGTGGGAGAAATTGCCTCCGGAGCAAAAACACGTCAGCCAGGAGATGGACAAAGTGGAAATAGCCTTTCGGGAGAAAAAAGGACATGCATAGTATGCGGGAGATATTGACGCTGAATGCGGTGCTGTGGCCTGACAGGATGCATGTGCAGCTATGCGATTATGTGATTATGCGACCAACGCTGTGGGAGACTATAAGGTTATGAGGGTTGCAGAATTTAATAGAATCTTCGACAAAACAGACAATAAGCCCTTGTCTGACAATTAGGTGACATAGACAATCGGCAACCTCGAACGCTCAATTGTCCAGCATCAAACAATAGACCTGATGCCCAAGCTCGTCCCTGGACAGCTCCATCGGTGAGTCTGTGAGCTCCAGGTGCATCTAGTGGATGTCTGCGTTCCAGGCTTGAGCGGTGATATGTCAATGATATAGGCCTATCCTTGTTATGAATGTCACTGGACATGCATGATGGCATGCACTCCAGATTCTGCAGAATGAATTTTTCACCGCCATCAGCTAGGTTCGACGTCCCTCCAACGATTCAACATAGCAACCTTGCAAGAGTTATGTTCCATGCATGGACTTCTTGTTGTCCCAACTGGCAGCAAAGTTATTGCAGGTGAATGACAGAGGCTGAAAGCAGATTATATATGGGCTCTTCTTGATGAAGTAAGTGAGGTACGTACATGGAATGTATGTTCCGCAGTACTCAAGTCTCGTCAAGCATGCTTCGCAGGCTGCAGACACAGTCAGCACTGGCTCTACCGGCTCTACCATCAAGGCCTCCACGGGACCATCTACGAGAAAGCAGTGAGCAGTGGACGATTTTATAGTAGATTCTCGCAAGAAACTGCGGGTGAAGCGGTCGTTTACGGAGCGCAAATCAGAAACTCCGTTACATGGGGTATGGTCCACATTCCATATAGCTATTCTTCGACATTGACCCTGTCCCATGTCCCACAGGCTCCGTCAGTAATGAGAGAAATACAGGACATGTCTCAGCGAAAATGGGTGATTGAAACTGAGCCCTCACGTGGTTCTGTCAAACGCATTCGCCTCGATAGCGCAGATACACAACATCACATCCCCGTCAGTGTTGAGGATCTGTTGGACAGGTTCACCAGGGCCATGAGAGTCTCCAAGCCAATTCCACCAGACGTCTCAAATGGACACGGCACCATGTTCAAGAAATCATGCCCTCTCTGTCGAGAGGTGCTGATCAAGGTGTATGAGAATGCTAAAGATTGGAATGCTATACGAGAGATCACCTTCCATTGCCTTCCAAGCAGTGATATGGATCTCAAAACCTTGGGCTGTTATATGGGTGCACCGAGTGGCTGCCAAGTGAGTGAATCTACCATCTATTCACTATACGCTGAAATGAGCAAACACTCACAGGTCATTGATCTGAAGAATTTTAAGCCCTTTCATGAGTACTGTGAGGGTATTTTAGAGCACGATGATTTGAAGGACTTGATGAGCGACGGATTTCTGCAGGTAACAAGTTGAGTCATCATTCTGTCGACCCTCATCATTTTGTTGATGATTCTAACTCTGCTAATGATTCCAGCCTGTAAGGGATAAGCTAAGTGACGTAAATAGGCTTCAATAGACAGCACCAATCTGGCGACGTAGACAGTGAAGATATCGTGAATCGTGCAATAAATCTGTGTACGGTTCCTGCGACGCTGGGTAGAAAATGCAACGTGAAACACAACGTCCGATTTGGTCAATTGAAAGTGCAAAATCGTGTAGCCAAAGTTGTTTCGCAGCTTCATAGCATCCGTCGCTTTGCGCGTCCGTCCGGTGTCAATAATGCTCTGCAGGGGTGATTAAGTAGGCACGATCGTCCGAAGGTAGAAAGCAGTGAAGCATAGATCTGGGACAATCTGTTGCCATGTGTATCCCTCATCACTAGATTGCCAGATCATGTTATCAGATAAGCGAACAAGGATGGCCTGAATGAGTGATCATCTTCCGCGATCATGAGACAACTGCTCACACTTTTGAAGTATGTGAATTGCGCCACAGGGGCTTGGAATATGAACTGCCAGGCGACTTCATCGCTACCTACCATCTGGTGTATGATCTCGCCCTTCACTGGCTCAGCTGAATGAAGTCCGTATTAGACCGTGCAGTATCAGATAGTGCGGGACATACCATTCAAAGCCAGTTTCGAAGACGGTTCTTCAATGGATTCGTCCTTCATGCTCCTTTAGCTCTATCACACATCTTGCCGGGAATCAATTGATAGGCAGAAGTGCCTCTGTAGTCTGGTCCGGCTGATCTTGGAGGGTATACACCTGCAGGTATGGGAAGTTCCAGCCCAACGGGTACACACACATCACCTTGACGCACGAAATTGTAGTCGCTGAAGTTGACTGGCGAGTAAAAATACTGAGCATGGCTGTGAAAAAAAGACGAAGACCGACCGGCCATTCGTAATCCTCATCCATGCACTAGACAGTCTTCCCTCATGCTCAATTGGTCCGCAAAAAATGTATGTGCATACTACACAAATGCGTAAATCAAATGCTCCTTCTCAACTATTATCTTTGGCAGCTCATCCGATGATGCATCATGAAATGGCATCAGCTCAAGGAGCCCATTGACCTCTACTGAAATGAGAGCTATGGTGCCTATATTGGCACCTGCGATTACCAACACCATGTCTCCAACACCTGCAGAAACATGGCGCGCTTTCAAAAATTTTGCCGGTACAGCCAGAATCTCAGCCCACTTCCTTCACCCATAGGCTTTGACACGTATGTGATCGGTATTGCTCTCAATCAGCTCTTTGAGACAGACAGTGACCCCTTTGTCCTCATATTGTCCTTGCTCCCATTGGGCTTCAGGAGATGTGCCTTTCGTGTTGCAGATCGTGAGCGTAAGTCGCTTCAAAATTGGCAACATTTTCTGCACCCACGGGTGAAAAAGAAACAATGTGTTGTCCTGTGGATCTGAGGTTGAGAGTCGGTGAGACTCGAATATAAGCACAAGAAATTATTTAGCTTACGTAAAGTGAGCGCAGCATATTGGTCTGTTGGATTGTCCCCAGTTGACGATGGGTCCCTTGATGATGGGTCCCATGCAGCAGCCAGAGGTTCATTAGATTGATCATCTGAAGTGTCTGATACCCAAGGCGGTGTAGCAGAACTGAGAGGAGCTCACGTGGTTGACGTGGCTGGCGTCATTGACATGTCCTGACTAGCTAACGGAATGCCAGATGATGACGGAATGCTAGATGTTGCATAACCCAATGGCAGAGTATCTTGTTGATCGCTGCAATGAAATGGTCATGAATATTGAGATGAGGAGCATTCTGGCTAGCCCGAACCTCAAATATCTGAACTCGCTGGGCTTCAGCCACACTACAACACCCCTCGGAGCATCCAGCTCCATTTGATACACGCCGTTGTATTCATCTTTGATGAACCCTTTGTGTGCTTTGTATTGTCCCCAGCTGATCATTGCGCGCTTCAATACAAAATGCTGATATGTTGCACGATTCTTTCTGTGGGCCTTTGACAACAAATGAACGGCTGGCTGTCGACGAGAACCGTCGCCGCTCACTTTGACTGAGTATTGCAGCAACCAATCGTATTGGAGCACCCAACTGGACATTCTCACTTTGGTATCCTGCACCGCAACCTGGAAAACATGATTCATCAATGTTTCATCTTGCTCGCACTGCGGACTCACCTCACGTCATTCACGATCATTGTATATCAGCAGCGTCTCATCGCCCACAGATGTGATGAAGCCCCTCCTACCTCTGTTCACACCATCAATGATGTCTAACAAATCGTCCTGTTTATAGACCCTTCTGAGCTACTGAACGGCCACAGTAGCAACCTGGGATTGACTGGGACCGTACGCTACTTCAACGGACTCGCCTATGATGCTCTGTATGATTCCTTTGATGCCTTGCAGCTCCCCCTCAGTGACACGAACGTGATCATCGATTGCAAGGCTGGCAAAGTAAACCCACTATGTAATTTGTGCGATGGACATAGGCGAGATCCAATGCAGACAGATAAATGGTGCGATTTCGTCCACATTAGGTGTACCGTCAAGTAACCTCAGCTGTTCCACCTCGCATGACACACAGAGAAGTCCGTCTTTGAATAATTTCTTCTTGAACATGTACATCTTCATTCCATTATCTTGATCAGGCATCTGCTCCTGGACAGTATGAGGACCGTAGACTGCAGCAGCGAGGACAGGGTTGAACACGCATGGGGAACACCTCGGTGCAGGATGCTTTGCACGACGCTTTGAATATGCCATACAATGATGCATTCTTCCTTCACTTCCTCGACGTACACGAGATCACTGGAGTAATTCGACGTGGACACACATCAAATGCGAACCCAGCTACCCATCTCGATATCAGGTGCAATTCAAAAAAGACTCATTCATTCATCAGACGGCACGAACATTGCTGGCATACTGAGGATCAGATGGGATACCACAGAAGAAATCTTCAAGATGTCATGCATGCTCTTAGCTTCGACGTAGATCCTATCGGCCTCATCGATGCAGGACTGATTCTCTGAGACAAAGATGGAGTACACGGAATGACTCCGTGGCTCATCGACGGCATTCTGATTTTCGTCTTGATCTGCCAACGACTGGTATAGCATGATCAGAACAGTGAGAGCTGAGTTCCACTTTAGAAAATGCATCAATAACCAATCCCCAGGACAGCGTGAAACTTACCTTGGTACGAAGCATCCAGATCCCAGGGCAGTGCTCATTGGGCAAAGGAGGACGTTCTTCGGCCTCCACAGCATGATCACGACTTGCACTCTCCCTACCCCTATGAGCCCTTTCCTGATATTGATGTGTCAATTCCACCACATCATCATCATCCTCATCGTCCTCACGAGCCATCGCTGAATATAAGAGATGCATTGCGATATCGTCCCCTGCTGCCTCGCCTTGAAGAATGACCATGAAATGGTTAAAAACAATCGCTGGATGAGGCGACTAACTACTCACCTACTTCAACCTCGTCATCTTCAGCCTCGTCGTCTTGAGCCACATCGTCTTCAGCCTCTTGAGCCTCATCGTCTTCAGGTTCTTGAGCCTCGTCGTCTTCACTCATCTCTTCCCCATCATCAACGTCTGCTTCCAAATCAAGAAATGGGTTGTGAACGCGACCCTACACTATGTTAGTTTTTACTCCGGCCCCTATGGAGCAAAATCTACCTTGCTTGTCATAATTTCTGTGGTTGAGTATATGGCTGCAGCTGCGGTTGTGGTCGTGAGAGAAGCAGTTGTGAGAGAAGTGGTGATTCATTGCCATTTCAGGCTGGGAGAACGACCTGCTGATGTAAGATGCTGACATAACAATAAATCATCAGCGCTGCCGTTCGAGAAGGGAGTGGCTCACAGAGTGACTGCTCGTTAGCACGTAAGCAACAGCGATTTCACACAATTGTTTCTCATACTATATCTAATACAGAGCATCCAGGTCAACGAATCCTCCTACATCTCTGTTCCCAATAGACACTTAGTCAACTCCCCATCATTCACGGTTTCATGGTGTGAGTCCTAGTGCTTTGACAAGATCCTGGGGTTTCTTTACTTAGTAAAAGACCTACTGAAACCATCAATGTGAAGGAGAATTGCACCAGCTGAGGAATTTCCACATCAGTCATATAGTTGACTTTGCATCGTTCGACTTTTGAGAGTGAAGCCAGCCACTGCAGGTCATAAAATGATTTTGGGAGTCCACGAATGCAGCGACACGTAGACTTAAGAGTTGATGAATCAATCTCAGTATTATGAGGTAAAGCGCGATTCCTCCTCCTCAGGCTATGCGTCGAGGCATGATACGTATCGATGTTGGTGAACAAGGCATTGAGTTTACTATGGCGCCATGGTAATGCGACCTTGCATACGACCTTGAGATCACCACTGCTTTCTTCATTGGTCTGATCAGAACTCATGCCAGCAGCCTCCAGCTGCTCCAGGATATCCTCGATAGCACTCCACAGATGAGGAGCACTATCTTTCTTTGCATTGATAATCTGCACTTGCCGCACCAAGAGCTGTTGCTCTCGAGTCAGTCTCGGCCTTGACACAGCTGGGTGGGCTTATGCTTTGATGTCGCATATCATGACGTGAGGCCGCGACGTCGTCCGTTCTTCTCTTTCTTGCATCAACTGATCTGATGCTATGGACCTGAGCATGTGTGTGTCTTAACTTGATGATGCAGGATTGCATCAGTTGTGTTTCCGACATCAGATCGTGGTTGAAGACAAGAGGTAATTCGGTGCTCGATTTGACTCGCTGTAAGAATTCCTGGCATAAAAGAAGAATCATCTCTTTGTTCCAGCAAGAACTCAGCTCGCTATTCCAATCAATCAATGGCTGACCGATATCCGGTCCATCACCCGACCCATCCATGAACACGTCTACTGCAGAAGAGGGTGCGGAAGAAGGCAGAACATCATTGCTGATTGGTAACACTCCCTTGGCTCACAGGTATTGTCGAAAGCGGGCCTGGTATCAAACACGGTCAATATCGAGAATGCCTCGTTCCTTATGACTCACATGGAATAAATTTGTTCCCTTACCCCTCAGCCCTCGATGATTTTGTTTGCATTGTATACCCCCTCCATCCTGCTCTTCTTCATCCCCATCATACTCTTCATCGTCGCACTTCATCCTGACGGACTGGCTGGCATCATTATGCACCTTTCTGGTGGCGGAGAATGCATGTCCAGAATTATCACTTATGACATCGATCACTTGCTTCACTCCTTCTTTGACCCCATTAGCCACAGCAATAGACATAGCTTGCATTAGTCGTGACAGAGGTGTGTCCTCGACAGATCATTGCGGGTGCAGAGGGGGTGCCGAAGAAAGAACTGTGGGACTTGCTTGAGACGTCTGCAATGCCAGCTCGGGGTACTGACTCCGATTTCCATTATGCATAGTGGTCTCCACACAGTGGCCTTTGTCAGCTCTATCCTGTTGCCATACCGAGCGTATTAGATGAAACCAATAAAGATGTATATTCAGGCTTACCTGCATATCTGTCAGTCCAGTGACTGCACTTGGACTAGAAGATGATGCTTTGGCAAGCGATGCAGCCCATAGTTGAGCAGTAGCAGGATTAGGGAATACCAATTCTGGAACAAATGTGACACCCTCAGCTACAAGCATATCTTGAACATTTTCTTCATCTTCTGAACTGTGATCTCCATCTGAGAGCACCTCGGTGATCTGTAGCGGCATCTGAACTCTGATATGCAATCGGAACATTTAGCTCACCACTATATCAGGATCTTGATTCAATGATGTATTTATTTCACCGAAAAACATCTGCTCCTAAACTCGTATCAAAACTGTTAGCGTACGATAGCTGACAGGGGCAGTGCACTTATACGGTGACATTGACCCAAGAATCAAATTTTATTGTCACTGGCATCATGTCAACCTGCTCAGTGAGCACCTATTGGCGACAATAAACAAGGTCAAGGAAGGCACTTGTGAGCAGTAGCGGACCATATGCAACCAAACCTCTGGTCCAGGCGTCGTCATACCAGAGTCTTCTGATCTAATGGCCACAAGCTTGCAAACTGAATGCGAACGCGGACGAGAGCGAACGAAGTGTAACACTGTGCTGCGAGTTTATGTACACAATGAAAGCTCAGCTCATGGAAAAGATGCATCAGCAGATGACATCAACGGTTCTGGATGGTGGCGATGGCGTGGAGACAGCTCAGGGGGGATGACAATAAGGTGCTCGGTTAGATGGTGCAAATATCAGCAGGTCCCGACGACTCTGGGTGGCGCTGGATGGCGGCATTGGAAGGTGATTGCGTTGATGACATTCGGGACGCTCCTAATAGACAATAAGCACCTATCTAGTGAAACCGGCGGAAGGACGGACGTACCATCAAAATGATCACCTTAACTCACGTACGCTGCCCATCATGGAAAGGGTGCATCAGCGGATGACACCAACAACTCTGGATGGTGGCTCTGGGTGAGGGCACTGAAAATATACAATAAGTTGTTCGGCTAGATACAGGCGGGAGGACAGATGTACCATCAAAACCATCACACTAGCTCAATTCTGAATAGCGGCTCTGGGTCGAAGGGGGGCACCGAGAACAGACAATAAGCTGCTCGACTAAATGGCATGGAAAACTCGGGAAACATCCTTTGATGTTTAGCGGGTCCCGGCGACTCTGGATGGTGCTGGATAGCAGCAGATTGGCAGTATTGGATGGCGACCTTCATGACGCTCCGAACAAAACCTGCGTCACTGGCAGGAGGATGGACATACCATCAGATGGTGAAAGGTGTGAACCTTAGGTGACATTGTTAGTGTCCCATTTCCACTTTCGACTGAAGCCTTCACATCCGATGTTCGCAGAGACTTTGCATATGCTCGACCCATTCAACGACCGTTCTCTGTGCCGACAATGTTCTTGACTGAAGCATTCGCGTTCACGTTCACATCCATCGTAGGTTCACCGCAGAGACTTCGCCTATGCTGGGTGACACGACCCGTTCAGCGACCGACGTGAGTAGCGCTCCGTGCACCGACAATTCCTCATTTTTGTATCCATCCTTTCTCTCTGATTCGAGACAGATCATAACACAGTTATGATGCAGTTGTCAGAAGTCATGAATGGTCATTCTACCACAAGTCTATGCTAACGTCCAAGCTAATATCCACAGCTAACGTCCACGCTAATGTCCACGCTAAGTCTACACAAGTCTACACTACGTTGAGTCCATTAGCTGCTACATTATTACACTAAGGTGCATGTGCAAAGAAAGCCTAGTAGGTGGAGCAGAAGTGAGAGAGAAGAGGCGCCCTTAGCGAATCTGCGGGTAATTCAAGGCCTCCAGTTTAGGGCCGGTCTGATGGGATCTTTGACGGAGCACCCACTGCCTATTTGAGATGCAGCCACTGCTGTGGTGGCGTGGGCACACACTGCCTATTTGAAACACAGCCACTGCTGCAGTGGTGTGGATGCCCACTGCCGATTTGAGATGCAGCCACTGCTCCGGTGGCGTGGGTGCCCACTGCCAATTTGAGATGCAGCCACTGCTCCAGTGGCGTGGGTTCCCACTGCCCATTTGAGATGCAGCCAGATGAAGTGGAGACTGAGAGCAACGGAACTGCATGGATGTGTGATGCCGCATTCTAAATTGCGGTCACGTGCCTGTTCACATCCCACGTTCACGTCCCACATTCCAACATTTCACAGAAGGATTGCCTGTTGCCTCCCTCAAGAAATCCAAGTGAGTCGTCGCGATCGCGAAAATTTCTGTTGTTGTCTACCTGGCTTCACAAGAACGAGATGGATACCGATTATGTTGAAGAAAACATACTGCTGCCTCAGGTAGAAGATGGACTCCAGGGCATTCAGCTGTAAGCAATGTATTCCCGCCCCCCCCCCCCAACCACTTCCACTAATTATGTATCTAGCATCCGTGATAAACTCATTGAGGCCATCCAGCCTCTCTTGGAATTGCTATGGCAGCAGACAGGGACATCTGCAGCTCTGATAGTTGGGGCTCCTCCTCAAGAAGGTTCAAACACGTTTTTCATCAAAATGTGAGTTCGCAAATGTGTATTCTGCTAGCATGTTGACCCTCTATGTATAGTTTACAGTCTGGCAAGACACAAGATGCATCATCTCATTCTTGGTCTCAATGCGAAGCGGACGCTTTCCATGACCATATTATCCCGTCTTTTACTCGATTCTTGGCTAAAACGAAGCCCGACGCATGCACAGTTGCAATGGATGCTTCAACTCCACATGCAGATGCACCATCTGAGGGCGTACCACAACCTCAATCACAGCCTGTACACTCACTTGGAGTAGTCACAGCAAACACATCTGGCACCGGCGACATCAGCACTAGGCAAGCCACCGCTGCTGGTGGTGCAGGACTGACATCCTCAGTGAGTTCAAAGCACCAGCAAGATGATGTGCCACCAATTGCAACAATTGAATGGCCATGTTTTTATCCCCATGGACTTCTGCCCTCTCGTACCCAGCTTGGCTCTGACATTGGGGAGTCTGAGGTTGCATCAGATGTTGATGAGCTTACGGAGGAGATTGATGAGCTTGTGGATGATGACAAGGAGGCCAGCAATACGATACAAAGAATCACAACTGGTATACCAGACTGGGCTCGAGAAGCGCATGACTTCATGATGTCGAAGCACCTAGGCAGTGAGTTCGACAGATGTGTCTCACTGTGGATGGCAGTTGAGAACGGTTACAGTTTTAAGACTGCGGTAAGTGATGCACACCTTGATACACCATCATCTGCTGACTTACTACAGATCAGAGGCCTTGATGCTATCAACCGCCCACCCCAGGTCGCACACTGGCTTCATGTGCACCGTCGCATGCTGTCAAAACTTCCAGTCATCGAGAGCCTAGATGAGTACACTCACTCCTGGTGGCTGTGGTGGGCCAGCCTTCAACCAGAGTGGAGAAAAAATGATATTTCTGGGCATCCAATACTCGGCGGCGGTGGCGATTGAACCAAGCTCAGAAAGCCCAGTCAAAACGGGTTGCTCACAGTCCTTCTTGCCCTTCTGTGATGGAGACTAGCTGCAGAAGAAGTGAACTTGTCAGACTGGAACATGGCAGTTGCCGATGTATCCTGGGTCCTCACGCAGCTCACGCATGATCAAGTGCCTCACATAGTGCTCGGGAAACATGGAAAGGAGATGCTTGGATATCGACCAAAGAAACAGTAAGCATTCTATCTTCATTTATGCAGATTGTGTAATGTTGACTGGCCGCGCACTCAGAAAATTGGCTTGATCTATGTCTGCTCTCTATGTTCCAGTCACATCGCGTGGTGATTCGTGTGAAGTCTTTGCTTTGTAGTTGTATCCTTCATCGTTCTCTTCCCTTCAAATGACTCACTATTTAACTTACACCAACCATAGTGCATCGCAGCAATGATAGCTCTAGGATGTCAGCTTTGAGATCTGAGATAAGAGACTGTGAGGTACAATATAGAGTCAATATGTGGCACAGAGCTGACGCTCCCACTCCGATGAAACCCTGCACATAATCTGATCGCACAGGCATCGACTTCATGCTTGATCCCTCTGACGGAGCTGCTGCTCCCGTTTTGCACAGCACCATCTGCGTCCTCTTTGATGACTTTGGTCCCGACTTCGTTTTTCGTGCCGGAGCCCGGTGGCCACCTAAGGCATGCTCCACAGCCATGCCAGCGCAAATACAGGAGTAGATAAAAGAACGTTGACGACCGGAAAGAGGTCTGGATACTGCGCAGGAGGTGACATGAGCAGTTCCAATACATGAAGGACAAGGCATGCTGTATGGGCGGCCTGGGCCAATACGTCAGCGAGCATCAATCACAGCAAGGATAGGTATGCACCAGTGATACGTAGTGTGATAGGGATTCTGGCTGAGTACGAAATGGGTTGTAACCCACTAACCGATTCCAGAGAAGCGTCAGCGCAACTGTGTAGTGGCTGGGTGTAATGTGAGTACTCTCAGAGAAATATTGGAAATAGAATTCAGTTGTACATTTAGACGTGCAGACTCAGGAAACATTGATGGGACATAAGGCAGAAACACTAATGTGAACAGGAGGTGGCATAACAGATTCTTACTGGGTACTACCATCATCCGACCCTGCTTCCCAAAAAAGGTTTTTATCCCCTGAATTAATCCAGATATCGATGAGAGCGCACATCTCCCGGATCAGAGACAATTCGACGTTTCGGTCGACAGTTGCATCTCCCCACATCTGCAGGGAAAGGAGTGCAGGGAATTGCTGCAACCAACATGGAAGGTGACGCTTATGGATAGGGTTCATTTAGACATGTGAATAGCGTAAATGTTCGCATGTGCTTACCAGCAGCGAGGAACTGAATGCATCTTTGTGCTTCAGTCGCGAGGCTTGTTTGAGAGTGACGCAACTTACTTGAGTAAGAGCGACATCCAATGCGTGAAGGTAATAATCGCCAAATGGAGTGTCGTTCTTGGCTGCAAGCTGAAAGGGGATGGTGCAGTTGAAACACCACAATGTGCTGCATGCTCCAACACATTTCACCACTCTTACAAGGTTGCACACATAATCGGCAGGATTAATATGATCTTGATCCGGCAGTACGACGAGCTTCTCCAAAGCTGAAAGCGGATGGCGGGAATCGCTCAACAATCGGATGAGGTATGTAAGCAGGCCATCCAGGATCTGCAGTCGAGGCAATGAAGGGGGGAGGCAGCGTCGACGTGTGGCACCACCACAATGGGAGTGGAACCCGATATGGAGTTCGCGAAGGTCATCGTGATGACGTAGGAATCAATCAAGCACAAGCTGTGTGAGTTCACCCTCAATTCGCAGGACCTGCAAGATCAGCACTGCGAGTCGCTCGAGGATACGAGTCCAAGGAGGTGTTCCGACGCCCGGGGTATTCAAAGTGAGTTCGGTGATGTTGGAGGCATTAATACTCACCACTGTCCATCGATAAAGTGGGGCATCGAATAGTGCGGATGCCTGAGGCTCGAAAACCTTCAGTGAAGGTAGGGAGAGGGGGGAATGAGGTGGTACATGTCTCGTGAGTTTGAACGGATGATAGACTTCGGAACTGCAGTGCCAAACCATAAGGTTCACGACAGCTGTGCCCTCGAGGCTCTCTAACAGCCAGGCTAGTTCTGCATGTGGAGTCACCGTGAATCTGAGCTGCATGGTTTTCAATGCAGGGATGCGCTGCAAGGACAAAAGGAAATGACTGATTCGACCGTCTTTGATGGAATCATTGAATAATGTGATGCGTAGAGTCGTCGGGCATTGGAAAACAAGAGAATAATGCCAAAAACCTAGAATGGAAGCGCATCTCCATCCAGACAAAGTGAAATCGCCCTTCTCAGCTTCAATGTGTACGCCATAGCGATCCAGATAGATTGGAACATCGATGAAGTGCAAGTGGCGCAATATCATCGTGAAACTGATGAGATCATCATCCGGCAACAACTTCACGATTGCAATGACTAGTTCAGTCGGTACTTGAAAAAATATGTCAGTTTTCTCCTCCGCTTCATACAGGAGAGGTGACTGTGTCAGAACTCAGATGGTACCTTTTGATAGAAATGGTATCATTTCACTTACGAGAATAGATGAATCTTCAGGCATCACAGTGGAGGGTGAGAGGGAGGATGATTCAGGCTCTCTGAAGCGACAATCCAATGAGATCTAGCACAATGACTTAGTTACCCTTCATGCGATTGTTCACGGACTTGCGTACGGAGAGGGAGGATTTGCTGAGATCGTTAACGAGATAAACACCACCATCATTATCAGAGGATATGAAGCTGTCTGTTGAGCCAAACTTCTCATCTGCCACCTGGAAATGCATGCATAGTATCAAGATCAGTGATCGTACACTATGAAGCTGAACTCACAGGAACAGCATCTGCAGACACAACCCAAATTCTCCACCAGAAGGGAAATAACAAGCTGAGAACCAAGCCCATGATTTGACGCGCTGACATCCTATCGAACATGAAGACACCGCATTTATATACGCGTGGCTATCTGCATTGATTTTGACAGCATGTTCACAAGCTAAAAAAATAGAGCTTCTCATGCTCGGCAGTAAGCATGCACCTGGCCGGTCAGGGCAGCTCTTGGTGGAGCACATCTTCAGCCGTCAACAGACAATAACGTCTTGAACACCACGTGCTGACGATACCGAGAACAATTTCATTATCTCCCATCCTTCGCATCAACGGGTGATCCACTGGAGGTGTTTGGTGGGTCCCAGCGGCTCTGGATGGCGACGTTGGACGGCGAAATCAAACAGCGACATTTGTGGCACTTCAAATAGACAACAGGTGTCTGCGTATCCTGAAAGTGACTGTACCTGAAGGCGATTGGCCTGACTCATAAAGGCTGCCCACAATGGAAACGATGCATCTGGAAATGACATCAACAATTCTGGATGGTGGCTCTGGGCAGTTGGCACGGAAAACAAATAAGTTGCTCAGCTAGATGGCACGAATGATTCTGGATATTCATTCTTCAATGCCAAGCAGGTCCTGATGGCTCTGGGTAGCCCTGGATGGTGGTGGATACACAATAAGCATCTATAGCATCGCGGGCGGGAGGACGGACGTACCACCAAAACTATCAGCCTAACTTACGCACGCTACATTGCCCACAGTTGACTGCTAAGACAGCAACAAAAGGAGGGAATAAGGCTCGGTATCGGGGATACGGGGATATGAGACAGCTATCCTCGCATCACCCGCAGCCAGCTGGAGATCTTTGGTGGATCCTGAGCATTCCTAGATGGCAGCATCAGATGGTGCTAATGCATGAGTCTCAATAGAAAATGATTTAGCACCTGTGCAGTGACGTCAAGAGAGTGGCAATACCTTGAATCACACAATAAATCTGCGTACAGTTCCCACGATGCTGGGTAGGAAGCAATGAACGGGTCTCACTCTAGTTTGTCGCTTGCCCCTGCGGACATCTTCTGCACTCCCTATTGCACACTGTGAGCATCGTACATTGTGTGATCATCAAGCCTGCAAACTTTGAAAGGTTGCAGATGCCGCGGCGGTGGCTATTCAGCTCTTAACTTGCCTAGTTCGTCTCTTGCTTGTCATTACTGAAGCCTTGAAGCCCGCTTCCACAGGAATGCTAGCAAATTTTATCGAACACAATGAGAGAAAGCCGGTGAATGGCACTACGTATCAACAATTCCATCGGCTTCTACTGCAAACACACCCAGTGCCTGCATTGCAGCCCATTGTCACAGATCCACACGCCTTTCTGAAGTAATAAAGCTCATGAATGCGGCAGTGGAAAATGCTACCAGGAACAATTGGACCCAATACGTAGGAGAAGCCGAGGGCACCACACTTTGAGAAGTCAAGTTCTACAGTGCATTCAATCAACTTAAAGTCAGATGTATTTGTTTTTATGAATCTACGCATGACCATATCCTCAGCTTCAATGGGCCATCATCGGTGGATGCGGTCACGATTAGGCACTGCCGCTCACTTTCGTGTGTCTACGAGGACATCAGCATTATGCCTGAGCAAAGGGTGCATCTAACCTACAGAAACAATCTGCACCAGCGTTGTGTCTGAAAGAAGACCGAAGTGTGAGATTACCTCATGTCTAAGCCACTGCGCGTCGCTCACCATGGGAATGGTCGAGCATCTGAGTTAATTGCCCAGTCCTGATGTCAAATACTCGTGCAAAACCATCATCCCTGCCCATAACAACCTTGTTGTCGAAGAGGCTGACTTGCATCATGTAGTTGTGTAAAATTGGATAGGAATACGAACGAGTTTGCTTCATGGATGGCAGTCTGTATTGATCAACGCCAGAAAGAAGGTTCGAGATGAACAGAGACTGCTCATCGGAAGAGAGCATAGAATGACCGCTGGATTCATTTGAGGTTATGGGTAAGTGAATGTGGATGACTATGCACATGCGAGTTGGGATCTGCTTAGCCCACTGCAGATTCCAAGGGTCCACATTGTAGCATAGTCTATGAAGGGTTGGCGATCAGCAGGGCTTGTTGAACAACACTGACCTAGATACGTACACTTCATGCAACTCGCAGAGACAAAGAATAATGTTGGTTCCATTGTCTAAAAAGTGAACGCTCTGCACCATTACTCCCTCCTGTTCAAAGTCCATAGGAATCTTCTCCAAACAGCCTGTGCGTAGGTTCATGAGGCACGCATACATCGCTGTTATAGAAATGGAAAATGGAGACAAACCACCTGTGGTCAACTTCCACAGCTGAATTGTGCCCCTGCCAACACTGGCGATGCGACCACTACTGTGATCATAGCTAATGTTTTGAACGAAGGCTTTGTGGCCAACCGTCATAGAACAGTATGCGAAGGGGGCCTGTGGCAGGACAGTAGGTAATGCATGGCTTATTTGCTGGTGAGACGCACCTTCAAGTCCACTCTCTGATAAACCTGCAGGCTGCCATCGGCGCAGCCAATGATGAAAGCCAGATTGTCACCCTTGCCAAGATCAATCCAGCATATGCAAACCACTTGGCCATGAAACACGCATGATATGTCCTGTATCTGGCGCGCAGTCTCGAGATCCCAAACAATAACATGTCCATCGTCAGCTGCAATGTCTTGGGTGAGAACTGGGGGTGAGCAGCGTATGTTGAAAACAAACCGCCTGTGAGCAATGTCAGACCATCATGGCTGACAGCCACGGTGTTCACGGGAAGATCGTGGCCGCGCAACATCTTCTTCAATGTAAACTGTCACACACATTACATGAGAGTGTAAACGATGGAATTCTTCACGTACACAAATGCCAGTTATGCCGCGAGAAGACGAGGAAATGGTGTAAGTTAGAAAGGACAAGTAAGAAGACAATAAATCGGCACGACATGAAACGCCCACCTCAGAGAGTTCCGTGTGCATCTTTCATATTCCGCAACTCACAGGAGGGTCTTGACAATTGGATGCTCTGGTGATGGCTCTGAGAATGGACAATTAGAGGAGCATCGCATCTTAATTGCTCGATTAGGATGAGTCTGTCAGATGGCAAGAACGATTCTGGAAAGCGACTGACAATCTTGTCTTTCGACGCTTGGAGTGTCACAATGACTCTGGATGGTGCTGGACAGTGATATTGGAAGGCAATTATGGATGACGACGTTCAGGGCGCTTCTAATAGACAATAAGCACCTATCTAGTGAAACCGGCGGAAGGACGGACGTACCATCAAAATGAACACCTTAACTCACATACGCTGCCCATCATGGAAAGGGTGCATCAGCGGATGACACCAACAACTCTGGACAGTGGCTCTGGGCAAGGGCACTGAAAATATACAATAAGTTGTTCAGCTAGATACAGGCAGGAGGACAGATGTACCATCAAAACCATCACACTAGCTCAATTCTGAATAGCAGCTCTGGGTCGAAGGGGGGCACCAAGAACAGACAATAAGCTGCTCAGCTAAATGGCATGAAAAACTCGGGAAACATCCTTTGACGTTTAGCGGGTCCCAGCGACTCTGGATGGTGCTGGATAGCAGCGGATCGGCGGTATTGGATGGCGACCTTCATGACGCTCTGAACAAACAATAACCACCTAACGTCACTGGCGGGAGGATGGACTACTATCAGAATGATCAGCTACATTCACATACGCTACCCGCATATCGATGTGAGCCTCATTCTGTGTGCTATCAGCATGAGTCTCATTCTGTATCTGTGCCGACAGTAGGTGCCTTTTCTCTCCATCCGATTCCATTATTCCCGCAATGTCAGTAGCGGGTTCTGATGGTCCTGGAGCGTGCAAGGCTCTCTGCCAAAACTGGTGATCAAGGGATTGCACTGACCCTTTACTGATGCTCTGTCGCTGGTCATGCATTCATGTCTCGTGATTCTACGCTAGGCCTGTGCTAAGTCATTGAGTCCACTAATCGATTGCACATCTTCTCTTGCCCAACGCTTCCTCTCGATGCTCGGTCTCTCGATGTCTTGGTAGATCGAGCCTTGTGGGGAGGCCACGTTCGTCCATGGAGGGAACAGTTGGCACAGAAGCCATGAAAGCAATGTTCATGATGTTGCCCCCCCCTCCTCCGGGACCGATCACAGTCCTTGTCATCCCTGCAATGTCTATCCCATCCCGACTCCGATCTCTGTCTTTGTCCTGATCATGCTCACGATCCTTGTCTTCTTTGCGCTCTCTTTCCCTGTCTCTATCACGAAGTCTCTACCTTTCCAGACCCCTCTCTCTATCACAATCCAACTCATTCTCAGCCTCACGTCCTCCTCTTGAGCTGCGCTTTTCACGTGCTGTGCCTGATGAGATATTTCACGAGCTTCCTGACTCCCCTCACGCTCTCGCTTCTCATCCAGGTACAACGATGATCGCCGCTCATGTGACTGTCTGAACTCATGTGTCTAGCTCCTGGACGAGTAGAAAGAGACAGAGAGTGTCAGCGAGAGGACGGTGAAGGGGCTGCGTGCGCAATGGACTGGCCCATCTTTTCTTCGACCTTCTCTGCACGGGTCTGCTAGGCAGTTCTTCTGAGCTTCTGAGCTGAGACGGTTTAGCTTGAAATGGTATGTGGCATGATTTGCGATGGCTCTGTCTGACCAACTTTCCTTTCATCCGTTCGGTGCAATCTAGCTGATTGAGGAATCTTTTTTTTGCAAAGTGTGTTGGGCCATTGACATCGGAGAGGGCACCGTTGGTCTTGGCAGTTGCGCAAGCGGCGATGCACCTTCACGAGAGACAGTGACTGGACGACCTTGCTCGGAGGAGGAGTCGCACTGATTGGGACCTCTGGATTTATTGAAACCAGTCTAGGTGTGCACAATATGGGTTTCGCGAGTGCGCAAGTCGCTTCCACTTGAGAGTGCATACTATCGACGTTCATTATCCTCTTGACAACTTCCGGCCTTGGAATGCTGTCATTATATAGGTGTGAGCTTGTAATAGTGCTGCCAAACCAAATGGCCATACCTTTCTATGGCCGCCTTTGCGGAACTTGATGTCGAACAATCAATTTCCAAGTGAGAAAACCCGTTCGTCGCCGTTATGAACACTTCCATGAGGGAGGTAACGAGACTAGAAGCCGGCGACGTGCACGCACATGTGTTCAGAACCGTTGATAGGTGCTTTTGTGCTTGCAGCAGACGAGGCAGACCAGAAAGACAATGAGAATAAATCCATAGTGCATGTATATGAACAGACCTTGATCTGTATCACAAACTTAGAACGCAGAGCGCCGACTAAGCCTATGACCTTATGATCAAACACTTACTGACTGTTGTCGACGTAAGGATGGACACAAAGATAATCAAGGTAAAGCAGTGCCTTACAAGTGAGCACTGGTAACACTGTATGAAGAGGCGTAGCAGAGATGAGAATAAGTCTGGGGGACTTA